CCAGTTTGATTCGAGAGTCTTTGTGGGCCATCTGTTTCACCTGTACACACATACATACAATAGACACGCCATCAGACACACACATTACATACACCAAATAAGGCTTTTCTCGCAGAAAACATGGAGGGAAGGGAGGAGGCAAAGACAAAAATTGAGGGTGGGAATACAAGTCATAAGGTTTAATTCAGGAGGCAAAATATTATCAGGTGATTTCCCCCTCCAAAAATACCCCTTCCTCCCATTTTTCCTCATACCTGATATTTCCTGCTTTTGGCGGCTATGGCTGCGTTGAATGGGATCATAAGGATCATGAGCGCAAACCCAGCAAAGATGGAGACACCCATGGTGAAGTAGAGGAAGAGGAGGGCGAGCACTATTTGGAGTGGTGCGGACCAGATGAGGTGGAAATAGGTCATGAGGTCCATGAACCGCTGCGCGTCCACAGACATGAGGTTGACTATCTCTCCGACCGTCTTCTCGCGACGTGACTTGTTGTTGAGGCAGAGTGCCTGTGGGAGAAGGTTGTACATATACAGAGGGAGGAGGGAGGGAAGAGGAGGGGGAGAGGGGGAGGGAGGGAAGAAGAGGAGGGAAGAGGAGGGGGAGTAAGGAAACGGAAGGTTGACCTGTATAACACTTGCTTGGCAGGGCAACTTATCCTTCAGCTAAAACCCTGCCTAAAGTCGCAGTATTGAAACTTTCGGTAGAAAACTACAAGGTTTTACAGATGAACAAACACGAAACTCTATCACGAAATCCTTGTATTCCGACGTGTGAAAAACTGGTGCCTACAAAAGCCTCCTGCAGTATGCGTATATAAGTCGGCCATTTTCTCCCCACCTTCTTGTAGATGGCAGCAACAATGGCGCTTCTCATCCTCATGCCGAGGGTGAAGCAGCGATGGAAGTACTGGTGGAGGAAGAGCGACTGGACAACAGCAGTCACAAACAGGAGAGCGGCATAGAAGTACCCCTTCCAGTCCGGTTCATCTCTGTCCTCCGTGAAGGTGATCAGCAACCTAGGGAGGGAGGGAACAGGTAGATTACTAGGGAGGGAACAGGTAGATTACTAGGGAGGGAACAGGTAGATTGTAAAACAGAGTGGTGTATAGTTGCACATACAAGGAAAAACACTTTGGCATGATAGTCCCATACATCTATAATGCTATTAATTATACCATACCCAACCTATACATCTATAATGCTATTAAACAACATATATGTACCATACCCAACCTATACACTACCGTACTTAGTGAAAAGAATTGAAAGTTGTGTGGGGGAATTGGAGCAAATATGTGGAACTAAACTTCCTACGAACGAATTTGAGATGTATTTGAACTGCACAACAGCACAATATTATTAGTATAATAAGTTGGTAATGATGTAGTTTTTGCAGCGTGACTTTACTTCAGGACTTGAGGACTGACAAAGTTGAGCAGGTCCTGGACCAGCTTGAAGAAGGCCGAGGCGAGTAAGACAGGCCAGAAGCTCTTGAGCAACGCCAGCACCAGAGATGGCTCCGCCTCCCTCCGCCGTTGTCTCGACGACGGCACAACCCTCACCACAGTGTCGCCTTCACTTGTCGGTTGCCGTGGTGATGAATCAACGCTCGCCTCGTTGTCGTCCTGGATACTGACAGGCTGGTACCCTTTTCTCCGTCCACCACCGGCTACGGGTTTCCTGGAGACAATAAAACCCTTATTCCACTTGCTCTAAATTCAGTCCATGTGCATATATATAATTACCATAGCAACGTGTTACTCAGATGAACAAATAAAACAGCACCATTGTGAATAGCCTTTTAAGGAGAGTCAATTAACCAGTTACAGCGGGACAAGCATCCACTTTGCTACTGAACTCAAGGAAAGCGCCCGCTATGTTTCAGCGAGCTAGAAGTGTAAAGGTGAATGTATACGGACATACTGTGTTCTGTGGACCTCAGATTCCCAGCTCTTCTGGAAGTTTCCGGCAACCACTGCGGACTTGTCTTGAGGGTTGAGGTCGGTGAGGTCACTGTACTCCAGGTCCTTTCTCCAACCTCGCCAGATGAGACTGTGGAGTGGGGGGAGTGTGGGGAGGGAGCAACTTCACACGGTGCAACTTTGTTATGTGTGCAATAATCTCGTGCAACTTCAATGTATACATGTAGGTATGATAGGTCCATGCCATTATATTATGTCAGTGTTGCACGAAACGTCTAGTGCATAAACTTGCTACATGGACCATTTATATACCCACACATTGAACTTGCACGAGACTCTATATCACGCAACAATGTTGTGCCTTAAAATGAAGGAACTGTATATAGGAGAGGAAGGGGGGAGAGGGGAGAGGATAAAGATAGAGATAGACCAAAAGGAAGTGAAGAGAAAGAACAGTTAAATATCGGAGAGAGAGGGGTGGGGTTGACGGAATACTCACCCATTCAACCACCACCATGTGATCCTTGAGAGAAACGTGGCACTTTCCTCTGGACAAGGTTTCTTCTGTAGAGAAAATACACGCAAACCAAACGTAAACGGAGCCCATATGTGAGTGTGGGGGAATGATAAACAGAAAGAGAAAGGAAGCAAGAAGACAGGGAAGAGAAGGAGGAGGAGGAGGAGGAGGAGGAGGGGGAGGAGGAAGGGGAGGAGGAGGAGGAGGAGGGGGAGGAGGAAGAGGAGGAGAAGGAAGAGGAGGAGGAGGAGGAGGGGAGGAGATAGAAGGGAACTGACGGCAGCTGGGTCACGAAGCTGTCCCTTGGGCAGAGGTTCCGGCAAGAGGACCAGCACCAATTGCAGGAGATAGAGACCAAACTGAACACAGAATGTTGTAAACCTGAACTCGTCCTCCACACCGTGCTGCAGCCGGTATGAGGATGATACATGTAACTGTTAACTTGGTATATATAATAGCTTCAATGCTCACAACTACTTCAATGGTCACCTCTACTGCCTTGAGAAACATGCAGATTATGCATGACGTGTGAGTCAGTGCGATGGTCCACAAGCTAACTTTGACCTCAGAACACACCACATGGCCTGCTGTTCACATGCTCACGATGGTCCACATCCACAACCACTAACCTGGTCCTCGGCTAGCAGAATAAGAGATCTGAGCTTGAGAATGGCGTAGCAGGACAGAGAGAACCAGAGGATGGTGAAGAGAGCAGACGATCTCACTCCATCTCTTCTCTCTTGCCACAGAACCAGTAGGCCTATCACCTGCACAGTAGAAAATCACACAATCCTTGGCAAAAGACAGATGAAAAACTCACTGGTAGCCAAACTGCGTTTGTGTATATACGTACATAGAAAAACAATGTGAAAACGTCACACGTAAATATAATGCTTACACACACATGCATACACAGATAAAGAACCACATGCATCCACACTTTGACCTGTACCAACATCTTTTACAGTATTATGGGCAAAAAATTAACTTTGAATAGGTTCTTTTCTACTTGCATACAGATACTCACATACGTAACAGAAAGAACACACGATAGTATCCAAACGTCCTGGTGCAGATGGTCGCAAGAAGGAAGAAGCATACATTTACATGGAAAAACATGTAGTGTACTGTACATGTATCTTACCGCAGTCACGACGATAGTGCCGGGACTGAAATACAAGTATTGTGCGATGCCTCCATAGTCCCCACTGATCTCCTGGTAGACCGTGTAGCCAAGGTCACACAGACCAGTTGCCATTAGCAACACCACTAGCAACTGGAAAACATTGAGAGAGATCCGGAGGATAAAAAACAGGTTTTCCCAAAAATGAGTTTACACAAACATAGTTTACGTGCAGAGCGAAATTACCTCGGACGCAGTAAACAGTTTGCAATTTCTTTGAAAGTGACTAGAAATGCGGCCTCACCAGTTTTGAGGCATGTAGCCTGCTAAAGGGGAGGGGTCTGGTCACGGGAGTGCACGTTGTGACAAGGAACATGAGGCCGGCCAACAACCAGAAGATGACGCATATGCCAATGAGGATGGCGGTGTCCTCGAAGCAGACAGAGAGATCGACGTAATCGTGGCATGTGACGTTGTTGCTGGACAGTCCTGAGCCTTCTCCACCACTGCTCCATGCTCGCAGGCAGTTCCCTTTAGTCCTCTGCGATTGAGTGAGTGTGTGCGAGTGTGTGCGAGTGTGTGTGTGGGTGAGGGGGGGAGAGGGGGGGATAAGAGAAGCGAGGTAAACAAGTTAATTGAAACTCTCCCAGACCATTATACCACGCAAAAACCGCAGGGAAAGTTGTTAAATGTTTCACTCAGCAACGCGTGCACAAATTCACGCAAAATTCACGCAAAACCCACTCTCCAGCCCAGTGCGACCGTTCCTGCGCCTTACCCAGAACTGCGTGAATCGGTAGGGGCTGTCTCCAGAAAGACTGTACCCACAGAACTTGTCCAGATCGTCCAAAACCCCCATCGCCAGCTCACCCAACCAGCAGCAGAAGGCAAGTCCAGTTACGTTAGTGTCGCGGACCGTATGCGGAGGTTTACGCGGCTGCGAAGTCGAGGTATAATAATAATGTGTTGCGGGACCGTAGGTATACGGGATTTTCTGGAATTTCCCGCGAAGGCTGCGCGCAATTTAATGGTAGGCGTGGTGCTGCGAACTTCCAAAGCGCCGCCAAAGCGAAGAACAAGCTACCATGCACGAATTCGGCGACAGAGAAAGGGACCATGAATCACTACTACCGCCCGCAAAGAGAACAAAGATCGGCGGCAACTCCGCCCGGATCGCAGCGGAAGAAACTGAGACCACGCGCGAACGAAAGACGAGGCGAACTACGATGCCCGAGTTTCGAGCCGAGACCTTAGACGACTTCTACAAGCCATGCCCTAACTACAGGCTTCCAGCAGAGCTAGGGGCCTTCTCCTTCGACGACAAAGGCGTCTTTCAGCACGACAGGTCCCAATTGCGGTACTACAACCCTCCCAATCAGCCCTCCCGCCTCTCCATGGACCTCAAAGTCGGCTACGACGGTTATGTGCCGAAGGAAAAAAGCGGTTCACCGGATCTGGGGCCCATTCTGCGGTGGATCAGCCTCAACGGGCACTGTTTCAGGCCTCGAAACGAGCCGCTATCGCCCAATAACGGGACCAGCGCAGGCCGGGCGTCGGCTGCTGGGGAAACTGCGGTGCCTACTAGGCTCAACGAAACAAGGTGAGCTGACACGCGCGCGCACTGCAGGATCTATGATCTCATGCATGCTGTCTAATGTATACTACTGAAGACCTGTGCTCGTTGATGTGGTAAACTGTGCATACTATATAGAGCTACAGTGATACCCATAAATTCGACCTATAGACCTATATACCCACTCGGGTTCTGTGCCAACTTCGTGTGTTTCTGAAGTGCTGACAGCTTTGAGCAGAGTCTATGCACTGAGCTCCCTGCATAGCTTTTGCCAAATCTTGGCCAGAGTTCTACAACATAGGGACAAAGGGTGCTGGGACACCCTACACCAAGGGCTTGTTTGTTAACTTTATAGAAACTCGATATAGTCACTTAGCCTGTGCTTCAAACAGGAAAGCCTCAAAACTGCAAGGACTGATACTTTGGCTTTCTTTGGGGGCATTTCGGTGATAGTGGGAGATTTTTTCGCTTCCTGTGTGCATAATTGTCACACATAGATGGTGAACTAGCATTTCAACACTTATACTCTCCGAAGGCATAAAAACATGAGTAAAACACGACCCTTCTTCTGAAACTGAAATAAGCTTTGTGTGCGTGGATACATACAAATATAGACACGGGTGTTGGTAATACTCAATGAGTATGTAATACTTACTCCATAGACCCGACAATCTACTCACCAACTTCGTAGTCTGGAGGGGGATGCTCTGCAAGATGCTGTGCAGTCTCTACAACCAAACGGAGCCCTGGAAGGTTGCCGCCACCCTCTACAACGGGACGGTCTACCTCCAGGAGATCGAGACGGAAGAGAAGAGACGCCAGGAGGCCATCATGCCTCCACAGCAGAGAGCCACCTGCTATTGGGGACTCAAGTTTGAGGACTACGTCACCAGCAGAGGTATATACATGAACCAATATCTGTGGACATCTAATGTGTGTGTTCCAATAATCTCATTAATTAAACGGCATAGACCCTATAGTCCAATTGAAACTAGAAACGGAGTCATACATTTTGCAGTAAACATGAAAAACTGCTGTTTCAAACAGTATGTAAGGTTCCATTTCTACGTGATGCGTTCGTCGCGGAAGAAACACAAGCTCGCCATGGGATGTAAAAGAAACGAAATTTAGCTGGACTGAGCTCTAAATATTAATTTTTCAGATCCTCCTGCGAAGGTGGGTCCACAGAGTCCGACTGTGCCGCAGCAGCTGGCTCCGGGCACCGTAAACCCACACAGAGCCTTCAGCTCCGTCGTGAGGACGAGAATGAACAGCCACTCCATCGTGATGGTAGGAGAGGTGGACTGCTGTGAACACGTGAGTTTGTCTAGTGCCATAAACTGACTCTGCATCACCTCTTTTTGTCTTATACTGCACTGAGAGATTGCTCTCTACAATGGAGTCTTGGGGGGTAAAATTGCGTGCAAGAATAGTTGTTGGGAAGAGAAAAGTGTCTTATTAGAAGGGGTTTCACTGTGTATATATAAGGCATGAAACAAACTGTTTTATTTCCACAGAACTCCAAAGAGAAGTCTCCCCAGAGCTACGTTGAGCTCAAGACAAGTCGGATCATTCTCACTGACAGAAACAAGGCCAGTTTTAGAAGGTTAGCCCTATCTTCCTCTACGGTGCCACCCTCTTTGATTTTCCGTCACTCTTGCTGTAGGCACAAGCTGATGAAGTGGTGGGCACAGTCTTTCCTGATCGGAGTGCCTAAGCTAGTCTGTGGTTTTAGAAACGACGATGGAATCATAAAATCCTTGCAGTCTTTCAGAATCTCAGACATACCCAAGGAAACACAGGTAGAAAATCACATTGGGCTAATATCAATCTGACTATAATACCAATCAATCTGACCATAACACCAATAGGTTGATTTGACGATGTGGCAGCCTTCAGTTTGTCTCAACTTTTTGGATGAATTACTGGTATGGATCAGAAAGACTGTCATAATTGATAATCCTAAGTGAGTGTTTTAATTACAGCACATTATAGTATTCAGCTACACATAATAGCTAATACATCGAACTTCTGTCCGAAAGTCATCCGTATTCTATACTCTCTGCAGGGTGGTATATTTGCTGGAATGGAATACTCCGTACACACGGGTCACGTGTGAAGAGCTGTCACCTAACAGCGAGTACGTCATCCTCCCTGACTGGTATCTTCGGAAGAAATCTCCACCACCCTACGTGCCCTCCTAACGACATACACTACTGGTCTTCTCACTCTGCATCATGACTCTATATTATCATCAGGCTCAACTGCTGCTGCCCTATCATGCTACTATATAACAGTGGATATTTCTAGCCCCAGCCTCCATCTTATTCATGTCTCCCCACACTTTTCATGCTCCACTTCAGTCTATTCCATGAGTATTGTAAATTGCTGACCTTTCCCTATCTCTATGATGCCATTTCTATTATGAATCCTCCATAATTGGTACAAATGCAACACATTGGCAAGAGAACATGAGCAGACTATGGCCTTTGGATGATGCTCGTGATTTTTGCATATGTGTAATTCTGTGTGTGAAAAGGGATAAAAATCGATTCAGACACTGGTTACAAAAATTCTGCAATGTCTAGTTCTCCATGCCTGTGAAAGATCCTGCACCCATACCATAGAAGAAAATCCGTTTAGTTTTTCGTTTGTCATGTTTCAAGTGTCGAGAATGATGTTCCTTGCTTTGAGAATGGTGCTTCTTTTTCCGTCTGTCCGCTGGTTCAGCAGCTTTTCTCCACCAAGCACCAGGTGATGAGGACTTTCTACTCCTCTCAGTTGTCAATGTCACGTCAATTTCATTTGCTTCTTCATTTTCTTCGTCACCGCTCGATGAGGATTGTTCCGAGTTACAGCTACTGTCATCATCATCAGTGGATGTACTATCATATTCCACTGTATCTCTATTACCATCACTAGTCTGTTGCTCCGAGCTTCCAGATATAGAATCGATATCTGTCTCAGCTGTAGGTGTTGCACTGGCCTCAGCTGCTGCCAATTTCTCGAGCTCTGGCTCTTGAGGTGTGGGCATTTCTTCTGTCGTGGTTGAAACACACTCGCTGTGAGCTGGACCATCACTTGACTGCTCTGCCCCGAGGTTATCGTCTTCTTCTGATGGTTTACGTGACGTCGAGGGCCCACATGATTTACTCTGTGCTCTGTGGTGGTGCTCTGCAATGGCTGCGATGCTGTCCAGGAAGTTGAGGGCGTCTGCTATGCACAGAGTACTCACGTACGGTCCCCTCAGATTGTGTGAGCGAGATTCATCAACTGTACCATCCTATTCATAAAACAGCATAGTATTGACACATTAATTTTGTTTGCTTGGCATACTTCTGTCACGGCCTTGACTTTGACGTGTCTCTGTGTGACTCCAAACTGCTCTGAACGTGCTATCATCACTGCACTCTTCAAGGAGGACAGTGGAAACCATCTTATATAGGAAAGTGATAATGATACAGATGGTAGATGTTAGGTGTTCAGTTCGAGAGTTCTCACTTCATTCTGTCAACTTCGATGGGCTTGTGTCCCATCTCGTCCTCCACTCTCTTTTGAACAGTGCAGGATAGTTCTTGTAGGGGATCCTCATGAAATGTCCAACATACTGAGTTTCCACATTCACTACCTGAAGCAACGGATAGTACTCACATGTGCAAGATAATATCCGCTTATATACTTTGAAGCAGTTGTTTGTTCTGAAGTCTGTGAGAGTGTCTGCTAGTAGTTTTTGCAGTCCCCAATATCCCCAGAGTCTCCTCGTAGCATTCTCGTGCTGCCGTTAAATGAGGACCTTCACTCAAGAATCTATAAGAGAAGCCATAGACTTAATACTAGCTGTCGAAGTAAGGAACTCTAGGCCATGGGTGTTGATATTACCAACTTTGGAACGATTGTTTGCAAACATGGACTAGAGTATACTAGTTTGCTTCATAGATGGGGTGGGATTCAAACCTGTATGATTTGAGGCCTCCGAAGTCACACCACACCAACTGGTCGTAGGTGAGTCTCCCAAGAAGAAAAACGGCCTCTCCTGTTAATGGGTGTACCGAGTACGGCTGGATACCGGCGGCTCTGAACGAACGCGAGACACTCTTGTAGCCAATGCTGCTCAGCTCCCAGATGTCTGCTTTGCGCTGCGAGACGTCTGAACAGCGAATGTAGTGTGTCTTTTTCTCAGCTTTTCTGTAGGCCGTGCCACTCTGAAAATCGAGGACCATGTCCGTGAAATTCACACTGGAGCTAAACGGGTCTTTTCTGAACTGAGCCTCTGTGTTAGTGTTGGCCGTGGGATCGAAATTGAGCCACATCTTTGACTGGAAAACTTCTGTGAAATGCGAGGCCACTTTGCCGTGGACTGGTACGCAGGATACTTGCCACACCGAGTGTCTCGAGCTGCCCCAGGCCCCCCTCAGTGCATCTCTGTGACATCTGCTCACAGCCAGCTCCGGGACCACCGGAGGTTCAGTGGTAAAGTGTTCGTACAGCTTCTCGACAAAGCACGGACTGAGCTGGGCTCCGTTACTGCACAAAACGACAACTCGGACGGTAGCCGATTTAGATTTCGCTGCACGGGGCTTTCGCAGGGTGCCTGTGACATCATCCACGATTCTCTTCAGGAATTTCTTGGACTCGGGAAACGACATGACCCACTCTATCATAAGCCTGACAAAACACGGGGGAAAGTGAATTAGTTAGCTAGTGAGTCAGTGAGAAGAGAAGGACGAGCCAGCTTACCTGTCCCTGAGGGCGCTGACGTTCTTTCCGGCCAGGGGTGGCTCTGGTGTATTACAGGCAGTCCAAAACCCGCGGTGCCCTCATCCAGCCTGTAGACCAGCGCCTGGTCCACCGATTCCTTCCTCCCCAAACATCCCGACGTCAACTGGAGCTCCGACATCTCTCTCTCGGGGGGAGCCACGCCCACCACCGTGTCAAGTGCATAGCTAGCTAGCTGATTGGCGCATGCGCAGTAAGGTGCATAAATTATAAGTGTCAAATCGGTAAATCTTCACTGTTCATATAACGCCTCATCCGCACCTCCCACTCCCTGTCCTTCCGAACAGCTGCGACAATGTCTTTCTTTCTCAGAGTGGTGCCCCTTTCAAACCTCTCCGCCCTCCGTTTCACGGCTCTCTCATCAAAGGCTGCAAAGTGAGTCACCTTTGCTTTCGATTCAGCCGGTCCCTCGTCGGGTTTGCCGAACCCAAGTCTGTCCCGTTTCAAAACAGTCTTCACGGGGTACTTTCTTCCCTCCCGTTCGCAGCCCAGACCTCTCTCAGGGTCCCAGCCACTCCTGAGCATCATCTGGTAGCCACGGTTATTGCGAGGAATGCCGTAGCTACTGAGAGGCCGCACTGTGTGGCCACAGCTAAACTGATGTACAGTCGAGGTATTGTGCTTCTCCCGCAAGCTGTCTGTCACTCTCTGCTGACACACGTCGCAGAAATAACTCTTTGATTTGTCACGTGAACGTCTCAAATGTGTGTCTTTGGAATCCGTAGTAGTATCTTCTTCATTTGCTGTAGCATCACTGTAAGTTTCGATGAAACACGCCAGTGATAAGTGTCCGGATGTTCTTGCCAAGTCAACTGCAGTGTTTCCCCTCTTGTCCACCTTGTCTCTCCACTTGGCCCCCATAGAGAGGAGGTACTCTACTATGTGAGTGTGGCCAGCAGCAGCTGCAGACATCAGTAGAGTCCACTGAAACTCATCAGTAGTGTCTACACCACACACTCCGCTGGAGAGAGCTGCCCGCACCGCTTCCAAGTTACCTTCCTGAACATAGCCAAATACTCGGCTCACTGTTGTATTAGCCGGCAACGTTTTCGCGTGTTTGCTTGTATGATGTCGTAGTTTGGTTGTTGATCGCTTTCTTTTTCTTCTCTTGGCCCGGGTGACAGGTGACGACTCTTCAGGCATAGATAGAACGTTCTCATAAAACTGCTTCGCTTCCGTACCAGAGAGCGTTTGTCGGGGAGTGGTTTCGACTGCAGAGTCGCCCTTCGGTTCGACATCCCCTCTTTCCTTTACGAACAAGATCGCTTTGGGCCGGAGCATCTCGATTTTGACGCGACGATGTTTCTAAATAACGCCCACCAAAACATCCCCATTGACTGCGCATGCGCTGCGCCCCCAAAAAGTTCGCAAGATCAATCTAGTCAACAGAACATGCGGTAGTCCCAGAATCTGGTGGGTGGGGGCACAAGCATCATGTAGACATCTGGCATTGCGTCTTTCGAGACGTTCTGCTGGTAGTTCGTGCCATGATTCACGCAGGGTAGTCTCGTTCCCAAACCCATGACCGACACAATTCACAGAGAGGCACAGAGAGAGCAATAAGAACACATACAAGACGAGGCTATATCTATTTCTTATTATTGTTCTTGCCCAGCTCTTTCACCGAGAGATCTGTGGAAACAAGGTCCACATAAAATCACACAAGTGGAAGGGGTGTGGGCACTTTACCAGGTGGGAGCGACTGTTTCAACTTGTCTGCCTTTTCCTTGTCAGTCACTACTAGTGTGTAGAGGTAGCGAGAGCAGCGCACCTTGAACTTGACCTTATCTTTGCTCTTCATGATCTTCACCGCTGTGAACACACACGTGCACACACCCACTCAGTACTGGTACGATGCCACCATAACTCACATTTGGCATCTTTTCTTCTTGCAGTGATCAAGAAGTCTTTGATTTCTTGGATTTGTTTAGGCTTCAAACCCACATGAACGTCTCATAATACGACACACTTTCACACACGGAGAATTAGACACGAACTCACCATCGTTCCCTATGGACTTGACAAGGACCTACGATGAAGAGACGACAAGGCGATCAAAAACGTACGATACCAGGAGGCAAGATAGACATGTCCGGGCTCGAATACAACCTGTAAGCCAACGGATGGACTTAGATTTTCCACACTCACCTAGCTTCCTCTCTCGCTCTCGCTCACTGGGGTGCACGCGAAAGGTCAAACGGGCATGCGCAAAACTTCAAAAGGGCGTGGAAAAATGTTGTTGACGCGCTGCGCGCGAGCCCCTCCCATCTTTTCTGCGCAGCTAGCCAAGGGCAAGGGACCGAGCTATATACTGGAAGTGGAGTCAGAGTGAGTAGGTTTCAGAGACACAATGTTCCCGCATTTTTAATGCAAAATTATGATCACTTTCCTCATCAGTGGCTACAGAATCAATCCTACCGGTTCAGATTCCGCGGAGACGGAATGCGGACCCGTCGAGACGACAGAGAATCCTACAGGAGAAGGCAATACGAAGAACCAGGGACAGTGAAGGACAGCCGCCCGATGCCCCCGTTCAGCGTCGCACCACCCGATCCACAACCGTCTCGGACGCTACCCCTTCTCGTCCGCGGACCGGATCCCAGCCCCAAGAACCAGGTCCCCTTAGGAAAGCTCGCGGGAGAGAGAAACAGAGGGGGAGTCGCTTCTTCGAAGAAGCAGAGACGGACGACAGGCCTAATATTAGCGCTCCGGACAACGCAGAGAGTGAGAGAACCCTCAGCCAGCTCACTGAGCTCGACTGATTACCTCTCCATTCTTGTAGTATTCACCGGTGGAAAACCGCTTCCCAGCGATGACGTGCTGAACGCTCTCTTCAGTCGACTTATGGTCAGATACCTGAATACCTGTATAGCTAGATAGAGAGACTATAAGTGGATGTTGTAACACGCAGGATAAGATGAAGCTCCCACCTGAGAGAGTGGCAGAGCTGAACATGAGGCGCAGAGAGTACAAGTGGAGCCTTATTCTGGCTCAGGTATATATACTGCACGAACTATTTCCCAAATGATAGCTAGCTATATAACCTCTCACTCTGTCCCTCCTCCCAGCATGAGATCCAGCAGGGAATAGCATGTGTGTTCTACGTGGAGCAGTTGGTGAGACACGCTCAACCAGAACTGAAGGAGAAGAGGCCCAAGAAGAAACTGCTAGAGAACCTGCAGCCCCTCGGGAAAGTGCTCCGCGATCTTGAAGTCGATCTGCGAACCAACCCAAACGATTCGTAAGGACACTGAGCACAAAATACACTCTACCATTGTCTACCTTTTGCTCTGTATAGTTGGGTGGAAGAGTTTGTCGGTAACCCTAACCACGGCCATGTGGCACTGATTGATCTCATCAAGGACTTAGCCGATCATCCGATTTCTGTCCCGCGCAAAAACGGCAAGAAATACGCAGTCCTCAATAGAGAACCTGTAAGAATGGCTGAGATATTGTGTGCATCGTCCGCATATTACCTCTCCCTTTAGACCTACCTTCATAATGCACTGCTCTGCGTCAAAGCTCTGACAGCACATAGAGTGAGTGTGTTTCTAAGGGCTCCATTATGACGTATCATACTCTATACATTCCTACACACAGGCTGGGTTCAATGCAGTTCTGAGCTACGACCCCAGTCTTTCCGTGCTTGCTTATTGTCTGGACAACTCCAGCACCAAAGTCAAAGTCCTGGTCTTGAAAGTAAGATAATGATGTCATTATCTGACTTGTGGTGATGTAATGCTCTCAATACAGCTGATGGTGACAGTACTGCTGGCTCCTGGTGGGCACAAGAAGGTGATGCAGGCATTTGACTACTTCAGAGCTGTCATGAAAGAGCGGGACGCGTTTCCAGATGCTCATGTCTGCACTAGTACAAGAGCCAGTAGATCCTGCCTTCCAAGTATGACTTGAAATACCTTTCATAACCCCTACAATCTGCAACAAATGTCTTTTGTACGCAGGCAGCAGTGCTATGTTTCATCAACACAGTGGTCCAAACTGCCCACGGGCCCAATGCTAGAGTTTTCCATCAACACGAGTTCCTGGAGGCAGGTTTCAGCGTACAGGAGGTGGAGAGATCGCTGCATGGCCGACAGGACGAGCGAGTGTTGCACGAACTGCGAGAGTGGGCCAAGAATTTCATCGACATTCAGCAGTACATGGATGACTTGGCAGTTGCCAGAGGACGAGCCAGAGACCTAAAGGAAGATGTATGCCACCTATATTGCATACCTGTACTGTGGAACACTTCTCTAGGAAAAAGGACCCCTCTCTAAAAAGGCACCTTATAAAGTTTCTTGCATGCACTTTCTTTTGTCATTGGTGTCCTGATTGAAGGGGTTCAACTGTGAATTGTAATGGTCTTATAGCTTGAGACTCATCAAAGAAAGCTTCACGAGGCAAACATCGACAGAGAGAACCAGTTTGAGCAGATCAGAAGGGTGAGTTTGACCATTACATCACCGCATTGCCCCATCTAACAGAATACTGTGGGCACATTGTATGTAGTTGTTGAAGAAGACTGAGAATCAGAGAGAAAATATCCTCACACTAAACGAAAACATCAACGAACTACTGGTAAATCGAGTACTAGTTTACTTTTAATGGACACTCCATGCCTTGCTGCTGTAATGATCCACCACAACAAACAACAATAGGAGGTGAAGTTAGAGAGAGACCAACTAGTTGAAGAGAACGAGAAAATGGCAGAGGCTAACAAACGCTACCATCTGCACACCACAGAGCTCAAGGAGAAAGTAGAGTCACTCGCAGTACGTGAGCCAATGTTACTATAATACCCTCACCGACCGTACTGCTGACTGTATAATGCAGGAAGAGAAGAAGATTATTGATGCCCAGCAGGACCAGATTGAGTTCCTGCAAGACAAGATTCAGGCGCTGGGAGGAGGGGAGGGAGAAGAGCCCACTGTTAAACCAGGGGTGTCTGTGGATGCAGCAGCATCTACCACCGACACTGATGCTGGAGAAAATGGCTCTCGTTCTGAAGCTCCCATTATTCCACCTGCTCCTCCACCTCCACCTATTGATGGGGTTCCAATGGCCCCTGCGTTTGGTGTGTACTATCATTATAGAGACTGACATACAAAGCCCATATGTACACGTCCATCATGTACACAGTTCCTCCACCACCGCCCATTGGAGGAGGGCTTGTTGGAGTTCCAATGAAGAAAGCTGTGGTTCCAAACGTCCCTCTACCCATGCTCAACTGGTTGCCGATCAAGAATCCAGAGCACACCATCTTCAAGGTTCCCCAATACTTTGCAGAATGGCCAGAGGTTTGCTGCTTTTTACTGCCCCTGATGTATGCCACAGGATCTGAATGATGAGGCTGTGCTGGAGACAATTGATTTCTCAGAGTTTGAGGCCATGTTTCAAGTGAAGCGAATCGAGAAGAGCAAGAAAGATTTAAAGAGGGAAGAGAGTGAGTGAAGAGTCCAACAAACCACCTTCTGTATCAACTTGTTATAACTTCTCCATTCATCCATCAGATCTTCAGAAGCTGTCTGAGCAGCTTCATCTGATCGAACAAAGAAGAGCCAGAAATCTAGGTGCAAAGTGGAAGCTAATGATACAAGAGCATTGTGAAAACATTGTGTCGTTTTATCTCGTCCAGTTATTGCAAAGAGGAGAATCGGTCACACGTCGTACCGAGTGACAGAGTTTATCATGAATGCTGACCTCGACGGACTCTTGCCAGAACACTGTGAGCTACTCCTCAAGTTTATTCCCACCGAGGAAGAGGTGAGATCTGCTGCTCACTGCACAGGCCACGATATACCATAATTGACTAACCTTTTGCTTCTTCCGCTAAATAGCTCGCAGACCTGACAAAGCACTCGCACAGACTCCACGAGTTTGGAGAGGCAGAAAGATTCATCTATGATGTAAGTCAAAAAACCCACACTCGACTTGAGCAATGCAACATGTTTTGTAACTGGTTGTGTGATGCAGCTTGCTAGGCTAGATCGCTATGAGAGTCGACTGACTTCCATGGCCTACATGGGCAACTTTGACGACCTTCTCACCACAACTCAACCGGTAAATAGCTGCAAAAAGCACTACTCTGTAGCTTTAGAGGTGTGTCTAAAGAACGTATGGAGTGTCCTTTCGTTAATCGCACAGCAAATTGATGCAGTTCTTTCAGCTTCACTTTCCGTGTTCCGAAGTGCGAGGCTCAAGAAAATCTTTGAGGTCTCTCACACCAATCTCTGCCTACTGAGAACTTACATTTTCCTCTCAAACAGATTATCCTGGCATTTGGGAACTACATGAACAGCAGTCGGAGGGGAGCAGTTTATGGGTTCAGACTGGAGTCTCTGAACAAGGTATAACATATGCAAGTGAAGATTAATGTCTATAAAGCAATGAATTATCGTCTTGACCACCACAGCTGGCTGACACTCGGTCCACGTACGATAAGAAACAGACGCTGCTCCACTACATAGCTCATGTGGTGGAGAAACTCTATCCTCACCAGCTTTCCTTCTACGACGATCTTGACATTGATGAGGCAGCCAAAGGTGAAGAACTCTATAGCATGGAAAACAGAGTTTGATGTGACTATATACACTGCCAATTGTTTTTCAGTGTCAAACCAGATTCTGGGAGAGGATGTGCGGAACTTGAGAGTGGGGCTTGAAGACGTGAAGATAGAGAAGGAGAAAGAACCAGACAACTTCATCATATTCGTATCCCCCTATACCCCCTGATCCTATACTACCTTAGGCTGCAAATCTCAGAGTAACCAGGTGTCCCGAAGGTTTCAATCCTTGACTGAGTGCTGCTGCAGAGTTTCTACCTCCATGCCCAGAAGAAGGTCGAGATACTGACAGAGACATTCTCAAAGATGGAGGACGCCTACAGGGAGGTGTGCCTCATGTTCAGTGAGAGCCCCAAGACAGTGGAGCCCTCAGAGTTCTTCGGAATGTTCCAGAAGTTTGTCAGAGCCTGGAAGGTAGTAACTCTCCACAGCACCATTCATAGACATAAGCACCTAGTATAAAGTTTGAGGTTACATAATAATAATTATGGACACTGGCATAGTGATGTGCAGCTAATAACTGCCAGAGACCTCCTGCTTCTTTGGTGGAGCAAAAGTTTTCAGATGAGCTTTCCCTAGTGAATTGGAAACTTCCTCCCTGGCTCCCTGCAGCAAGCAGTGCAGGAGAACCATGAGTGGGAGCGGAAGAGGAAGAGGGGGCTTGTCACGAATCTCCTGAAGAAACCCGAGGAAGAGAAGGAAATGATGGCCGAGTTGGCAGTCGAGGCTGCGGCCGCTGCAGCCATGAGGAGAGACAACATCATTGAGGTCGGTAGAGAGGGAGGGAGATGTGTGTGTGTGTGTGTGAACTGGTTGTAATATCATTGACTAGGTTCATTCACCAAATGTTTTGACTATGGACTGTAGAAAATCCACTGTTGAAATAAAATGTTTTTAGTGAACGATTTTTTCAATCAGAGTTTATGAGTAGTGTTAGTAGCTATTGGTGTTTGCAGGAAACAAAGAAGCTGTCTGAGAGTGGCACGAGTGGCGAGAGGGAGAAAGAGGCGGAGAAGGCTGCTCACCGTATACCACTGGTCTCCCACGACCAATCACTAGACATTCACGACATCATCAAAGAGAAAGGAGTGAGATGACTTACGTACACACATTACTAAGGCACATACCATGGCACATGCATACACTTGATCCCATCCGTTAATTAATAAAAGAAGGTGCATCGCTTGAAACAGTTAATGGATTGTGATGCGTGCGATCTTCTAACAGTTGTTTCTTTATGCTTTTGGTGATAGGTGCATCATTTGGACTTCACGTCCAAACTTGGATGGTTGAAAGACAAGGTAAAGAGAAGGGTAAAGGACAAGGAAGAGAGTGGAGAAGAGGGAGAAAGTCGAGAAACTGGAGAGCAAAATCAGCTCGAGATGAATACAACTGCCGATCCCCCTGAGCAAACCACACCCACTGAACACACCCCCGACCCACTCAAAATTGAATTTGAAGACGATCATGATGGAAACGGATGGGACATGCCTCCCCTGCCTCCCAAAGACTACCTTGACGAGAGTCTCCCTGACCTTCCACCTCGAGACTATCCCACCACCACCACCTCAGAGCACATCAAACCGCTCGAACAGACTGGAGACCTCATCTCGGATGATGACTACTACGCTCATATGATGAACGCCCTAAACTCATGAATCCCATAGTTCATTTATCCGCATTCTATTGCACACTACTGGTACATAATAATAGCAACACATTATATTGACAGTGACTGCAAAATTTCAGTGGTTTATGTGTATTCATGATAGAAGGGCAAAATGAAGTGTGGGTATGTAAAAAAAATCAGCTGGCAGTTTCTTGTCTCTTCTGCAGCGATAATGAGGTAAAACTCTCTAACAGGCCTTGAACTTCGTCAACCTGAGAAAGACAAAAGTGATTACTCACTCGCTATTCCTCTCACCCAACTTTCACTTTTCTCCTAATCCCTTTTTCTTCCTCCCTCTCATTGATCCCTCCCCTCACTCCTCTCTATTTGCTGACCTGCTGAGGGGTTTCAGATATGCTGAGCTGTCCTGCCAGTCTCTCTAGTTCCACGGTCTCATTCTGACTGCTGCTCTTTGACACGTGCAGGTACTCCTTGATCATCTCTACTATCTGATGTGAGAGTTAGACACACACACAGAGGGGGAGAGAGAGAGGGTATGATCAACTTCTACCAATCTTTCAGGCACTTTATACATAAGGAGGGAAAAAATCCCCAAACGCAAAATTCTAGCAGGGATGCATGGGACGGCAAGCAAACTGTCATCAACATGGAGGGACCCTGCAATAACCTTGATGAGCGAGTGAGCTTACGTGCATGATCTCTTTCTTTCTGAAGCTCGGGGCTCCATTTCCCCCCTCTCCCCCTCTCTCACTCCCGCCTCCTCCCTCCTCCTTTGACTCCTTTCCTCCCAACATCCGGAGTCGCGACAGAGCAAGATGAAGTGGCGTGACTCCTTTCGTGTCTGTTGCATTCACATCTGTACCTGAAACCACCACATATGCTCACTAAAACACACTGCATACACTTCAGAGAGAAATTTTCTTCGTTATGTATATACCTGATTTCAGCAGTGCAGTAACAACTCCAACGTGATGTGTGCAGCAAGCTATAGTGGGAAAAGTTAAACCTGTATACATAATGTGTAGTTTTCCGTATATATAATTATACCTAAATGGAGAGGGGTGTTTCCATTACAGTCTCTTTGGTTTACAGATGCTCCATATGATACCAAAACCTTCACTGTATTAAAGAGTGTAGAGATCAAAATGTATGTATGCTCAGATGCTCCATATGATACCAAAACCTTCACTGTATTAAAGAGTGTAGAGATCAAAATGTATGTATGCTCAGATGCTCCATATGATACCAAAACCTTCACTGTATTAAAGAGTGTAGAGATCAAAATGTATGTATGCTCAGATGCTCCATATGATACCAAAACCTTCACTGTATTAAAGAGTGTAGAGATCAAAATGTATGAGCATAATGCTATGGGACCAAATGGTGGTATGTGCATACCCATGTTAGTGTCTCCTCGAGTTGCTGCAAAGTGTAGGGCCGTCCGTCCTTTGCTATCAGCTTTTGTCACATCCACACCTCTCCTAATCTCCTGTAGTACTGTGAGATAACACACAAACTGATTACTAACCACACACACATACACATGGAGACTTACAGTCTTCATAGGATCCATCAGATGCAGCTTTTCTAAGTCTTTTGGAGTCTGCAAGAAAGGAATTTACAACGTTAACCCCTTTACCACAGGTTGGTGGACTAAAGTTCTAACCTAGATAGTCTCTGCCGGCCATGACGTCCACCCAGCTCTTCTGCCGCCCGCCTCCCGACTTCCGGCGAATTTTCCCCGCGCTGCTGGCCTCCGTCCCAGCGGCAGCCTCGCCGCCCATCAGTTTTTCTCTCCCGAGCTCTCTGCCCAGCTCCTCAAACGACTTCATCTGCAAGAAAGCGCAGCACTGGGCCGTGAGAGACGGAACCACGCCGAAGCTGCCACTACTACTACCGGCCTTTGGCTTTTCAAGCACTTCTTCGTGATCTTCGTCGTCTTCCTCCATTTTTCACAGTCATAAAGGGGTTAAAATGTTTTACGCATTGCGTGACGTTCTGCGCATGCGCCACACTTATTGAAAATTCAAAGTGGGAATTCCTGGCAGGGGTTGTACGGTGGCGACCCAGAACACTTAGAATGGAGTTCATTCCAAATGAGTGTCCACGATCCATACCGAGCACCATACTGCATGTTCCTCTGGAACTCGTCGGGATTATAGCGACAGTCAAAGAGAAGATCAAACATGTCATTCTGTGATAAGAGAGGTGAGAGTATGATGATAATAATATGACAATGAAGTAGTTAGAGCTTTTGTATGTTAAATGAAGGTTCTGTAAAATATATTGCCAAGGTTATAATCTCACAAATACTAGGTATATACTTGCAAAGGTACAATTACAAGGCAGAACAATAGCTATAATTATAATTATCTGATAATCACTCACCCCCATTTGTGTGAGCATGGAATCCATAACTCTAGTCCCCCTTGGCCAGAGAGGGTAGTTGTTGACCTCAATGAACTGAAGCTGGAGATCTGAGGTGACCATGAAGTCTAAACCCATCATCAGAAAGTTTGAAGGTGCTCCTGTTACAACTGGCTTTGCTGCAACAAAAAGTGAAGATGTTTCCCACATAAAACATACAATTCCTCACAACAAACATGAGACACAGACCTGTGTGAGCTATGAGAAGGCCGACTTTCTGTATAAACGGAACAAGTTTCTTTGAAATAAACTCATGTCCATCAATCGGTCGATGGAGGTCGAGGTATTCCTGTAGATCACGAAAACTCCACAAGTGTTGTTCCATTGAGAATCCCTCGACCTTGACCTGGACGTGACTGTTGGTCAGATGTACCTCTCTCTTCCCATGAATATCAAATTCTTTCATAGACAACCTCAAGTAGCCGTCGTGATAAAACACGAGAAAGTGAGGGGAAGTTTTAGCTATTAGAAATGTAGGCTCGCACATCGAATTTTCTCTTTTGAAGCAACAGCGGGCTAGTTATGTACTCTTGTACAATGTAGTCGGGCGATTTCATGCATGTTGAAAACTCCTCGTAGAAGTAGCTAAGGTTTGAGTGGATTGAAATCCCGTCACCTCCTTGGCCGTTTGAGGGCTTGAGGACCCACCAGGATTTAGGGTTCTTGTTGCCGTACTTGAAAAACTTGACGCATTCTGTTGGACTGTCCAGGATAAAAGACCGAGGCATGATACCTGTTGCCTCCAACTTGCAGCCAAACGACTCAAAGTGTTTCCTGAACGACGTAAGCTGTGCTCTTTTAGCACCGGTAACTTTGTACGCGTTCTCCAGTGTTCCAACGAGTGCATCTGTGGAGTTGACTAGACGCGCGAGGACTCCGTCGTGGTGGTACAGTTTGGAGGATGTGAACACTACCAGGAGTCGATCGGGGGAGGTTAACGACAGCATTTTCTCAGGGAAATGCTCTGCAATGACCTTCATTGTCCAACCCCGATCACCGGCTATTGCCTTGAGGGTCTTCATAATGGGTTTTCCGAAAAATACGAGAGTTGTCTCGCGCCAGTGCCGCGGCCGGCCGAGCTGTAGCATCGTCAACCGAAGTAGGCAGTTCAAGACATCCTCCGATTTACCGTCGTTCGAAATGTCGTCCTGGCTCAGAGGGGGGCGTTGCTGAATCTTTGTGATCTTAGGGTGTAAACGCTTTGAAACGGCGTGTCGCTCTGCCTCTGTCTCCTGTGCTGGATTCTTCACCGCAGATCTCCGATTCAGTACAAGTAATAAACCGCTACAAACCAGCACAAATCCACACAAAAGCTTCACTCCCCTGCGGCCCCGCGGCGGCATCACCGACCACGCACCTGCTATAAGCGCGATAACAATTCACGCGCTTGCGGCGCGCGCACGGGCAAAGTCCAACAAGACTGGATCCATGTTTTTTTCGAGAAAGTCATTTTTCAAACCTATTTTCTGATCACACACTACAAAATAGACAGAGTACGCTATATCTTGGTATAGTGCTATCTCAAAAAGCATGGCAAGGTAAGTAATAATGTAAGTGTTTAGACTAGAGTCCGGGTTGCAGCGCTTAGAAGCACTTGCGGTGGACGATGGATGGGCCTGATTCGTCGTACTCCTGCTTGGAGATCCACATCTGCTGGAAGGTGGAGAGGGAGGCCAGGATGGAGCCGCCGATCCATACAGAGTACTTCCTCTCGGGAGGAGCGATGATCTTGATCTTCATGGTGGGCGGAGCCAGAGCGGTGATCTCCTTCTGCATTCTGTCGGCGACGCCGGGGAACATGGTGGAGCCTCCGGAGAGGACCGTGTTGGCGTACAGGTCCTTACGGATGTCAACGTCGCACTTCATGATGGAGTTGTAACACGTCTCGTGATGCCGGCCGACTCCATTCCGAGGAAGCTGGGCTGGAAGAGGGCCTCGGGGCACCTGAACCGCTCGTTCCCGATGGTGATGACCTGTCCGTCGGGGAGCTCGTAGCTCTTCTCCAGGCTGGAGCTGGAGGCCGCGGTCTGCATCTCCTGCTCGAAGTCCAGCGCCACGTAGCACAGCTTCTCCTTGATGTCGCGGACGATCTCGCGCTCGGCGGTGGTGGTGAACGAGTAGCCGCGCTCGGTGAGGATCTTCATCAGGTAGTCGGTCAGGTCGCGACCGGCCAGGTCCAGACGAAGGATGGCGTGGGGGAGAGCGTAACCCTCGTAGATGGGCACGGTGTGGGAAACGCCGTCACCAGAGTCGAACACGATACCGGTGGTACGTCCGGAGGCGTACAGGGAGAGCACGGCCTGGATGGCGACGTACATGGCGGGGGTGTTGAAGGTCTCGAACATGATCTGCGTCATCTTCTCCCTGTTGGCCTTGGGGTTGAGGGGGGCCTCGGTCAGCAGAACTGGGTGCTCCTCGGGGGCCACACGCAGCTCGTTGTAGAAGGTGTGGTGCCAGATCTGCAGGGGATGGAAGGAAACGAGGTAAAACACTGCTAGCACCCGGTTACCGAGGGTTCCTCACCTTCTCCATGTCGTCCCAGTTGGTGACGATGCCGTGCTCGATCGGGTACTTCAGAGTGAGGATACCTCTCTTGCTCTGGGCCTCGTCTCCCACGTACGAGTCCTTCTGACCCATGCCGACCATGACTCCCTGATGGCGGGGACGGCCGACGATGGACGGGAAGACGGCACGGGGTGCGTCGTCGCCGGCGAATCCGGCCTTGCACATACCGGAGCCGTTGTCGACCACCAACGCTGCAACGTCGTCGTCACACATTTTGCTAAAGGACCGTTCTTCAGGCGAGAGAACAAGGAGAGAGTATCACACACGTCTGTCTAGAGCGAGCTCTGAGCACTGAACAGGAGGAGCATTCAGCAGCGGCTCGCTTTACCCTCCCAGGGCTGCCACGCCCCGCCGAGCTCGCTTGGATTTTGGCCAAAAAAGGCAATCTCTGGAAGCGGCTGCAATCTGATTGGTCGTAGCCTGGCAACGCCGCGATGCAGTGCGACCGGCTTTCCAGCCAATCAGGTTTCAGAACCAGTCAGCCGGCTCGCGCGATGCGCGCAGACACGCCCCCTTTTCGCTGCACGCGCTTTGAGCGACACGCCCTCCTTTTCCGCTCTGCAAAATCCGTCGCCCAGGGCCCCGTGCTGCAGCAGTTGCACAGCTCTCTCCTCCTGCTCTCGTTTACCTTGCATCGTGCACACGCAGATCCGAAGAGATGGCCGTCCATGGAGGCATCGACGTGTCGCTCAAGTGGACCCTCGGGCTCCTAAATTCGGCTAACAGGTATCTCACGGCCGAGACCTTCCAGTGCAAGGTCACCGCCAACGGCACCACCATGAAACAGAAGCAGATCTGGACGCTGCTGCGCCACGGCAGCGGCATTGCGCTCCAGAGCCACGCCGGGAAGTTCCTCTCCATCGACAAGGACGGGAACGTGAACGCGGCCGGGGAGGAAATCGGGCCGGACCAGACCTTCACGCTGGAAACGCAGGACGATGGCAGGGTGGCCATCAAGTCCTCGTACAACCGCTACCTGGGCGGGAGCGGGGACAGCATCAGCGGGTTTTTCCAGACGATAGACGCCACCAACCTCTTCACAATCCACCTCGCCATGCACCCGCAGATCAATCTCTTCAACGTCTGCAGGCGCACCTTTTGCCGTCTCAAGGATGAGTCAGAGCTCGTCTGTGACGAGGAGATCCCATGGGGCTCCGACGCGCTCATCATCCTCGAGTTCCACGGCGGCAAGTACGCTCTGCGCGCATCCAACGGGATGGTCCTCCACCGCAACGGCGACCTCGTGGCGAAGGTGAACGACCACACGCTCTTCACCATCGTCTTCCGCGACACGCATGTCGCCTTCAAAGACCGCGAAGGCAAGTACCTGACGGCCGTGGGAGCCATGGCTAAGGTCCAGTCCCGCAAGGGGACCATCGGCAAAGACGAGCTGTTCGTGCTAATGGACAGCCACCCGCAACTGAGCCTCACAGCCGTCGCTAACGGTAAGCTGGTGTCCATTCGCGACGGGCTCGAGGTGCGCGCCAACCAGGCCCAGGAGACCCTGTCTGACTCCGAGATCTTCCAAATGGAAGCAGTCGACCGCACAGACAAGTCTGGCAACTGCAAGTGGGCCTTGCGAGGAAACAAGAAGAAGTACTGGTCCGCAAACCCTGGTATAACAGACGACGCAGACAGCATCGGGGACAAGAGCCAGTTCGTGGTGGAGTGGCTAGGGCCAATGATCGCACTCAAGTCCGCGACCACTGGGAAGTACATCTCGGTCAAGACAAACGGCAAGATGTCCGCCGAGTCTGCAGAGCTCACTGACGACTGCAAGTTTGTGTTCGACTTCATCAACCGACCCCTGCTCGTTCTGAGGGGGAGCTACGGATTCGTGGGCGTGAAGGGGGGCTCGGGGGTCCTCGAGTGCAACAGGTCGCAGTACGACATCTTCCACGTCGAGTGCAAGAACGGCGTTTTCCACATCAAGGGCAGCAATGGGAAATACATGAGTGTAGACGGCGACGGCAATGTTACCATCACGTCCGAATCGCCCGTCGACTTTATCTTTGAGCTGCGAGTCCACACGCACGTGGTCATCATAGCACCCAACGGCAAGTTCTTGCAAGGGGCACAGAACGGAAGCTTCACTGCAAAGGGCAGTGCCATCTCCAGCACTACTCTATGGGAATACTAGACAGCAAAAGAACGTCAAAATGGACTCATCCAATAATACACGTAACTGTTTATCTTAGTGTTCCAAAAATCCCAAGCCTGTGTGATCCCTAGGTAAAAGACATGTAGCATTTTATGCAACTATTTCAATTGTGTTTGAATTGTGGCATTTTGTTGTGCTTTTTTTGTACATGATGATTGTTTAGTGATTACCAACCAAAGAGGAGATGGCTTCAGAAGCACAACAGCTCTTCCACGTGGGGCTTTAGCAAATATGATCCAGATATTGGGCCTATATAGGTGTGCATTCTTTAATCAGCTGATAAGGGGGCTACAACTGTCAAAACAGGCAATTGTCACCCATGTTCAGCTTTCACATCCAAGAAAGACACTGATTTTGAACATTACAACATCAAAACATGCACAAAAAAACAAACACTGGTCCATCATTTCTTGACAATTTGAATAACATCCTCATCTTTCATGATGTGCTGTATGCCTACTCTTTGGGGACTGTACTTTGTGCTAAGTCCCTGCAGCAGATGTGTGTGTGTGTGTGTGTGTGTGTGTATTTAGGTAAAAGAAGGTACATAATCACACACAAGTAACCTGCACCTTTTCCTGCTAGAAAGGACAGCAATTAGTGGGCAGGCTAGAGAAAACACCATAGCAACAGCTGTAGCATTTTCACAAGGGACAGGGTTCAAAATTCATGATGTTTTGATCTGTTCTCCAACCACACACACACACACAACAGCAAGATAACCAGACCACCCACTAAAACACCTGTGGTTGCATAATATGGGAACTTACCCAGACCAGAGCATACTTGAACTGATCAACTAAGGTTCTGTGAACAGCATGACACTGTAAGGAGAGAGAGAGAGAGAGAGAGAGAGAGAGAGAGAGAGAGAGGAGAGAGAGAGAGAGAGAGGAGAGAGAGAGAGAGAGAGAGAGAGAGAAAGAAAGACACTTTCATTTGGCAGTGAGCTGGAGTGAATGCTTGTATCACAACAAGGCAATTAGTTCACTCTTTGTGAAGTAACAGGTACACCTGTTACAGAACATGATAGGCAAACACAATAAGCATAGAAAAAAACATTTCAGGTGACCAAAGCCAGTGATTTCACATAGGCAGAGAGATGTGAGCTACATGTATAAGTACAGAGCAGTTATATAGTACTGACCACGTGCTCCACATTGCAGCCTTGCCTCATGATCAATGGATCATTACTGAAGTCTGGAGGTTCTGCGCAAGAAACAAAGATTGTCTGAAAGGACTTTTGACTTCTAGAATACTCCGAAATTTGACATGGAAAATTTTGCGCAGGTTTATTCAATTTTCCCCTATCAATCTCATGTCACCCCATCACCATAAATGAACAAGACACAAGAGCTCAAAGGAACCACAATAATATTGAATATCCAGGCCGCTCTGTACTACAGCCAGGGCCAGCAGGGCCCACTCATACAAAGGGTCCAGAGACAGCATTCTGTGGCAAGGAGGCTACACATCCTGTGTGTCAGCATATCCCAGCCTGAGTACACATGTGGCCAATATGAGCACTAACTGTCTGCATTTTCAAGAATACTAGAGAGCATGGTAGGCTCTGTCTTTCAAGTTTCTATAGTTTCGTATTTAGCCAGTACATATAGGGAGGGGTCTCTATTGTCTTTTATGCACTCCGAGGTGCCCAAAAACACTTGCCTACATTCAAGCAACGTACACAGCAAAAGGACCCTCCTATATAAGAAACTTGTTCTACCAACACTGCTACAACAAAATCTGAATAAGGGACACTTTCAATGTACCGAAGGTGTCCCTTACTGAGTATGTATCAATACCTCCTCTCTTCTTAGTGTAGAGCCTAAGGAGACTGAGGTAGTCCCAGATGAGAGAGAGGAGAGTGTTGAAATTGAGCTCCAGCTCGCAGCTGATGACCACACTGTAAGGCAGTCTCGCCAGCCGGTCCACTTCCTCCAGACTCACAGTGTCCACCTTGTTGTAACACTGGGGTGGTAGAGGAAGAGCTTGCTGGCCTATTTGTATTGTGGGTCAAGGTGGAGCCCTGAAAGCTGTTTTGTATACGGTCCATTTGTTGCCCATTCATGACCTCAATGTGCTTTACATTTGTTTAGTAGCAAAGAGGCATCTGTGTGTGCTTCTGACTGCCACAGTAGGAAGATGGCCCACTAACCAGTGAATAGGGAGAGGAGAGGAAGAGCCTAGAGGATGTGGAGGTGGCCAAGGGACCACTAGAGCCAAAGGTTTACCTGCCCACATCTTCCTGTGGGTAGCTAGTGACAGAGCCACTGGGTGACCTCACGTGTACTTCTTTTCAGCCTCCACATCTCACACTAACACCCCTTAAACCATCTCTACCACACAGGTTCTCCAATGCACATATAATTATACAAAAAATCTCATCACTTTCAGCAGTGTAACATCTACATACCACATACCTAAACAGTGTAACACCACCCACTTTCCTTCCACTTTCTCTTCTTTGGCTTTCATTTGTCCCTTATTACCCACCTTCTCTTGACCCGTAGTACACCCCATACACAGCAGGTATACAGTAATGTGCATCTCTCTGTTGGTCTTTGAGCCATGTGCTGCTTGTTGTTCAGAGCATGTGGAAACACACACTCACTACATTGATCATAACATTACACAGCATACCCAGCCCAGCTGTCCTGGATCTTACACCCTAAAATAGCCAGGAACGACAGCCATAGGCTCCTTCATTCGAGCTAATCTGGCCAACTATTCGGGCAAATGAGGGCATCCCTGACAAGACGAAACGGGCCAGCACCACTACACCTCCAATTTCACACAGGAGTCTCTTTACCCTGAAACAAGTCATCTCCAACTTGCTGAGGGGAACGCCAGGTAAACTGTATAGTCTTGTACCCAGCCACGCAAAGGTACTGCACTGTGCCTCAAAAAGCTATTGGGCACCAGTAGATATTTCAGGAATCTGTTTTGTTTGTGTCCCCCACACACAAAGAAGGCTTCTCCTCTATTGGTCAATTGGGCACACAACAGTGGGCACAGAAGTTGAGGATTAGGGAACTGAACCAGAGAACAGAGAGTGACTAATTGTGAGTTTATTCAAACAACAACAGGTGGATTAGGCAGTTGCACACACACTAAACCAGCTTTTGAAAGGACAAGTAAAATGTAAAGACTGTATATTGGGCTCAAGAGCATTCCCACCACTGTCCATTAACATCATTAGCCCTGGAATTACAGGAACTAAGGAAGTAGTCCCAACATACCCATATAAGGAGAAACAGCTATAGACAGCTGCCATACATTGTAAAAGAGCCTAATTGCCCTGCAGACCAGACAATAATTATGTAGCTGTTTAGAGCACAGGTGGCTACATAACCACAATCATGCACTATACACCACTGTATGTACTTAATTGTGCTGTTGAACATCTGTATACTGCAGATTTTACAAGGTAGTGGTGGCAGCAGAGAGAGGGAGAGAAATGTGACCAAATATGGTCACACAGTGGTTGGCTTACATAGATACATTTGAGGTAGACTCTATTTCCAATGATTACATCTATAAAGTCATCTGGAGGGAGGGAGGGAGGGAGGGAGAGAGAGAGGGCTCAAATTAATAGCCAGTCTATTGGATATGGACAAGTAGTAAATTTCTATATTATTTTTACATCTACTGGATATTAGTGCTGCCTATTGTGTTCTTATTTTCTATTTTTATATATATACCTAGCTCATAAATGAAGACACCTGGAGTAGCTATGTGTGTAAACAAAGTCGTAGTGTAGTTAGACCTACATTATTGGGTATTCACGGCCAATCAGTCAGTGAGATGTTTAAAAAAACAGAGAGAGATCACACGATTGAGGAATTGCAATAGGAACACGAGAGAAATTGGCCAATCTGGACACTTTCAATCGTTTTTACCGCCAGATGTACATGTCAATGAAGATATTACGTTTCAATTAGTACTATATCTTTTTCAGGGTGGGTGGTTAGTGGGTGGACTGGACATGAACCAACAGACAAACAGTATATGTATACCATTATAAGGTGCAAAAGTTGTGTACACACACCCACTTTACCACCCAGCTTTTCCCTAAGCATATATATTCGTGTTGAGATCACACGTTGTCATACGTACAAGGACTTCTTCCTCAAAAAAATACAGTGGATTTCTTCTTCCTCAAAAAACAGTGGATATTGGATAATAGAACAAAAGAACTGCTTCTTGAAGTGCTGTAAAACTAAGCCGGGCACAATGCAATAGATCAGAGTGAAGGGTGTTAGAGAAAATCAACATATATTCTCGTCATCAATGTGCTGATTTGGAGTATGCAACGTGTTATCATACTGTGCTACCTAGAGAGAAGAGGGCGTGGCAGTGTTCAGTTGTGTTTGTGACACATGCAGGTTGCTATGAAGGAATGCACACGGTAGCGGCCTGAAAGACATTCACCGTCTGTCAAAGACTGTAAATACGCCATCAGATATTCAGAGCCTACTTTGAATCAATTTGCCGTCTCATGCCAGCCTTGCAGACAGCTCGATTGTGGCCATATTTGGAAGAAAATGCGGTCGGAGGGCAATTTGGGTGTGGGCCACACCTACAGCAGGCATTGGGAGGTCTATCAGAGCCGCAAGTGAGGGGGAGGGACCACCACTACGTCAATAGGGTCTATGATTTTTATGTTGTCATTTTGGGATAGAGCAAAAATAGTCGAATTGTGTGTGGCTTGCTGCAGGCCAGGCTCACCTGCGTGCTGTCCTAAGCTATATATCTCATAAAACCTTGGGATAAAGAATGATAATTGGTTAAATTTCCCCCATATTCTATTCTTTTGGGACGTGACAGAAATGGTCAGAGCAGTGCGTGTGGTGAGAGGCTCTGCTCACCTGCTGTGCAGTCCTCCCTGAATAAAATCTCAGCATTGAAGATCTCTGTACGACAATGGGTTAAAGACAAAAAATGAGTTGCTCCGTTTTTTTCTGTCCACACCTCAGTAAACTTTGTTGGTGCAAATCTCAAAACTAAAGCTACTGACAGAACTAGTTCTTTCATGGGACTAGTATGTAAGTGAGAGTGGGGCGGTAGAGAGGGTGGTGTGGGGAGGGGAGGGGGATACTGTATTCATGGAGAATGAGCTGTGCCATCTTCTCACTCATCCGTGTTAGCGTGACTGTTGAATTGATGGACATTCCTCCTCCTTTTTTCACCTAGTCTCAGAGAGAGGGCGGGAGGGAGTAACAGAAAGAGAGAGAGAGAGAGAGAGAGCGGGAGGGAGTAACAGAAGGAGAGAGAGAGAGAGGGCGGGAGGGAGTAACAGAAGGAGAGAGAAAAAGGGGGAGATGACATCATATGTAATTCCATAAGTAGGTAGAGATTGGAGCCAAAATCCAAGGAAGTGGACACATGTCATTGGCTCAATGGCTACTAGTAATTGCCTCACCTGGCATACAGCGAGCGGTACATGTATATCTCCACATTTAGTAAGGGTTTGGGTAGATAATTACATACACAGAATGCTTATAAGCCAAAGATATGCGCCAGCCCCACACCTTGAAATAGATGTTTGGTCGCCTCTTATTGAGTCTTATGCCAACTGCCTCCAACTCTATCTCCAGTAGTCTCTTCTGTACCTCTCCCTTACCTGGACACACCAGTAGCAATATGGGTGGTATACCAATTGAAATCTCTCACTTAAACATAGCAGCATTACGAATTCTGACAACAAACAATTTAGGTCTGGTACATGTTCGGAAAGAAAATCATATTTTTTTTGGAAGGAACCCACTATTAATGGTTAGTTGTAAAGAGAAGAGTAGAGGTGGGACTTGCCTGCGTCCAACATCATGAGGACAAGATCTGAAGTCCTGGCTACTGCTATCACCTGCCGTCCTCTTCCCTTCCCTACCACAACATCAACCATTGACAGTGAGAGAGAGAGAGAGTGACAGAGAGAGTGAAAATGTGTATAGCGTACTAGCTAGTCTGACACAATGTGAACCCTTTACAAGAGTGGTATATAATAACTTGGGCACTGGGTATGTATGTATACTGGGGATATATACACTATACTGTGGTAATGGACTATATAGTGTGGAAGGACGTTGAAAATGAAAAGTGTTTCCTCCTACATTGGAATGCAAATTAAAAACCTAAAACTACCGGAATACCTGTTAGCATTACACATTAGAGTGAGGCACAAATCGGATTACAAGACCTGAATGAAGTAGAGATTAATGGCCCCACATGTGTCATTGATAAAGGACACACGTGTATGAATGACTATTGCTTATGTATGCAGCGTATCAATACCTTGAGCAGCCCCCTCAATGATCCCAGGAAGATCCAGCAACTGTATCTTGGCTCCATGATACTGCCAGGAAATAGAGAGTAAAGAGGCTAATACAGTCGATACCATACCATACACATACAGTATATAGCATATTGTCATTGGTCCAGCAGCATGCACGTGTGGAACGTAAGTGTGTGTGGTGTGTTAGGACTATATATCTGGAGCACTCTAGCACCAGTGGTTCTAGCAGCATACGTAGCTAGTACTTAGGTGGTTCAATCTGTCATGACTGAGAGGCTGAAAACCACTGTATTTTGCTGCGTCCCAATAGTAATGCTGAGTGCAATGTCATGCCATTGATGTTAAATGCAGCAACACCAGCGGGAGCAGTTAGTAGTGTGAGTCGTACGTCAATGACTCCAGGTATGCAGGTTAGAGTGGTGAATGAGTAGCCGGCAGCTTCACTGTGAGTGGATGTGAACTTGTTGAGTAGAGTGGACTGCAAGCCAGGGAGGCGGTGAGGGAGAGGACCAGTGAACAGAGGAGGGAGAGAGGGAGAGAGGGAGAGAGGGAGGGTTGGAAAGCAGTGTAAGAAGAGGAACAAGCAAGTTTACAGAAGCAGAGTGAGAATGTATAAGGACTAACTAACAACATTCCCTACACAAAAAAGGAAGACACGCACATATATAGGGTGTGGAGGTGTAGAAAACACGATTAGTTTGCCATCCCAGCTACCGTGTTTGCATACGGACATAAGGACATTGCCATTTACACACGCACACATTATAGTAGGGTGTATATGTGGTATAATAGTATTGGTACACTATGTCCTCCGGCTCTACGTTCACGTGCAATGACTAGGCTATGTAGAACTTTTCAACAGTACGATAAATGCATACCACTATATAATATATAAATGCATATTATTAAAAACAGACATTGACTGCTGAGATGTGTTACCTTGCCCACGGAAGGAAATCCAATAAGTGCCACTCTGGCATCTCCAGACTTCATTACATCAAACCCCTCCCCCTGAGACAAATATTATGACATCACCGGTAATTTATTAGAAGCTCTGGACGGCAAGAAAAACCGTCCCAATAGGCTAGGTATTACGTAGCAGTGTAATTTGAATGAAATATGTCCTGTGAGGTTCATTTATACTACCTTGCCTGCTCCACCAGATTTTGTTGTTGGTTCAATCACTGTGACCTATATTTGGCTAACTTCGCCTTCAGAAGACCCAGGTGGTACTCTGTGGCTGCAGAGGAAGAGCAAGATGGGCATTATTTAGAAAAAGAACCTCTGGCAGCGGATTCTTTGGATACCTTTGTTTTTCTGGGTGCGTTGGATTTCCCTTTCGATCTCTGCTATCTTCTCGAGGATACCCATAGTCGGAAAATGTCTAAATGTCCTTCTCTCTCGACGTAAACAGCTGCAAAGCTCAGCTCTCCCGCATACCGCATGCGCTAAAAACCGCGCGCGCTGGTGGGTGCGCATGCGCAAGCGACAAGTGTCATGACGTGTGTGCCCTTGCTATTATACTAACATGCTAAAACACTTGCACTCTGTTGTTTAGTGTGTCACTGACATACACAAAGCGAAACTCGTCAACCGCAATTCCCTGCGGCTTGTTGAATTCTCCAGCTCCAGTTCCAAAGCGTCCGAAACTCCGCAAAAATGCCCCCTCGGTGCTAAAGAGGGACACCCTGTGATTAAGCACATCTGTGATGTAGAGCACCTCTGAAGTATGGTCCATACAGAGACCCATTGGCAGACCCAACTTTCCCTCCTTCCTCCCTCGCGTCCCAAACTCCCTGATGTAATCCCCTTCACAAGTGAACACCTGTATCCTTGCATTGTTACAGTCGGCCACGTACACATTCCCTGGGGAGTCAAACGCGATTCCACTAGGACACTGGAACTCTCCCTGTCCGCTTCCCGAACAGCCAAACGTCTTGTAGAACGAAAAGTCGCGGTTGAGTATCTGGACTCTGTTGCTTTCCTGCCATTCTGTCACATACACACGGCCAGTGACTGGATGTACGGCCAGGGAAGATGGGTAGGTGAACTCGAGATTTTTACATCCGCTGCTCCCGACAGACTGCACTATCTGCCCATTAGGTGTCACCCTGTGTATCTGCGAGAGTCTGAAATCGGCAACAATCAAGTTTCCGTCTCTATCAAGCGCCACTCCTGTCGGCTCTTCGAGGATGCTTGCCAGAAACCGTCTCTTGACTGCAGTGGATATTTTCTCCCCAGAGCGACTGCTCAGAACCACCACTTCTTTTCTTCCACTGACAGAGACATTCAGCCTCCCTGTCTTGTCCACAGCTATACCCCATGGTTGAGGCAGGCCAGGGATCACATGCACCGGTTCAGGACCTATCATTCCAAGTGGTGCCTTCACAGTCACGTTAAACGGGCTTCCTCTGACAGGGTGACCAAGAACGTCTATGTCTAGCTTATGTGGTCCTTTCACCGTTGGAGTATACTTTAGCATGCACTGGTTTTTATCCAGTTTGTCGATGCTACACTTGACAAGATCCGACTCAACGGTATTTGACTCGACTGCAGCGGACAAATACAGCTCAGAAGAGACCATATGAGCCGCTAGTTCCACGTCGATCTCCAAGTTGTGCCGGTTGTAGAGGCTTAGTTTCACCTCCTCCGGGTCCCCAACTTTGGCCTTAGACAAACCGTCACCTTCCACTAGGCAGTGCTCAGCGTGTGGGACCTTAACATACACGTTTCCAAATTCTCTCAGTGGATCTAGGGCTGATTCGTCTGCGAAAAACGCGATGTCATTCGCAGCATGTCTAACATTGCTCATCATCTCTTGGAAGACGCCACCGGCATCATCGACCATATGCCCCAATGTCTTACTCAGCAGAAGGGTCAATGTGAGCGATTTTTCCTGTAGGCTTTCAGTTACGGCTTCCCGACAGCTCTTCAGCTGATTTTCCACCAGCTGCAGTTGGTTCTTTCGGAGTGTTAGATTGTGGACCTTTTGCCCTGTCATCTCCCGCAGATCTTTTATCAGCTCGCTCTCTCTTTCCTCTAACAACTGGTGAACTTTTCCGATGCTTTCTCTGATAGCTCCTTGCATCTCTATCTCCTCGCTGTGGGCTTTCTGGCAACCTGCCTCGATTTCATCAATAGCTTCTTCCACACGGGTGACTTTAGAATCGAGTCCACTCAACTTTGCCCCCATTTCTTTCGTCACTCCTCCCGCAGATACAGAAATTTCGTCAAATGAGTGAAGCTTGTGTGCCCCATGTGTGCACCCACTACAGAGGAGCACACTGCATGTCACGCAGTAGTATTCGACCTTCATCCTGTGTGCCCCACATACGTCGTGTTTCTGGCTAGCACCCTGTTCTCGTCCCTTCTCCAAATCGCTCTTGATCTCAAACAGACTCTGTACGTGGAATGCTCTCTGTAGTTGATCTATGGATCGGACTTTAGTCTCCTTTCGACACACCGGGCACTCCACCACAAGCAACTGCTCGTTTTCTGTTCGGCCTTCCTTGGCAAGACCCTCTAGGCACTTCCTGCAGAAGGTGTGGACACACTGGAGGACTCTTGGGTCGCTGTACTCTGACAGACAGACAGGGCAGGTCACCTGGTCCTCTAGTTTCCTCAGAGCAGATTCAGTGAGGGGGTGAGCTGCTTCCGCCATTTTTAATCTAGTCTACTTTGTGCGCATGCGCCTACGGTACCATCAGCCCCACCCCCTATTTTCTGCATACTTCAGGCACAGTGCAGTGCAGTGGAAGTGAAGTGGCGCGAAGTGTATACCTCCGGCAAGTGTCCAACTCCCAGGAAAACAAGGAGCACAGTGCACGCAGCAACGCGTTTAGCCTTACACCAGTAGCCATGAACGGATTGAGGTAAGTTTTACCGGACATCCGCGCAATCATCTGCGTCTGATTGCCGTGTCTTCTGCGCTGTCTTCTCCGACAGAAGTTTGAGACGGTACGTGGCTACGTGGGATTTCAGAGCGACCAGAGACGACGAACTGACTTTGACACGAGTGAGTATGCCCATAGATATTATACGCGTATAGTATGATCAGAGGGAACGGAGACAGAGAGCAGTGTTCGTTGAATACTCTAGGGAAATGTTTACAACGCTAGAGAAAAGTGTAAGACTCAACTACTGGCTGCAAGAAATAAACAGCATCTTTGCATGGTTCAAAGGTTTGGTGACAGCTCAAACACGGCCTTATTAGAGCCAGTGCATGGTGGTGGTGGTAAGAAGACCTATCAATGTACACCGCAGACAGGAAGGTGGGTAGAGACCACTTCAGTCTGGATTCAGCATGACAGAAGCCAAGTTATACTGCTTGATTCTCAGCTGATTTGTTCCAATTATTATGTCGACTGACTGAGGAAACTTGTGATGATGTTTTACATGGGCTGACGGTGTCTTTGAGTGTTCATCGTGCTATTAGCAGGGCAGGACCTCTTCACATAGCTATATATCTGTTTTTCCCCATGATGCAGGGCGATATACTGCTTGTGGCTGAGAAGTTTGATGATGGCTGGGTACGGGGTATCAGAATGAGCGATCTAGAGGTGATTTAATGATGGAAGCACCTAACTAGAATACACCTGATCTATTTTACTTCTCTCTTGATAAAAAAGGTTGGATTCTTTCCAAAGGACTTTGTAGCAGAAGACACCTCGCCAATCTATACGCTAAAGTAAGCAAAGTGCTGTCCTAGTATTTTAATCCAAATCTCTGTTAATCATTACAGGAACATTGTTCCCCCACCAGAGGGCTACATTAAAGGTAAGCAGTGTGTTGACATAGAGCTGTAAACAGGAAAGTTCAATGTCTCGACTTCCTTTTCTTCCTATATATATACCTTTCGGGCAATTTGTCCCAATCTGTTTTACCCTAACCACTGACTCCCTTTTCCCACCCGCAGACCCAAAATTTGCCGAATATGACTCTTGCAAAAGATCAAAGATTGCAATGGTGAGAGTATTACGCATAACCAAACAAACATTTTTCCGTTGCTTGGTACGTTTGTGATCTACAAATGCACCACATGCAGCACTCCCTGGTTCCCACCACCTCTTGCCAAGATTTAAATTAGACTCCACTCTAGAGGTAGTTTTGTTAGTGGTTCTAAGGTTTTGGTCAGCTCTTTGGCAGAGAGGCAGAGGACCTACCTGTGTAATGATGTAATCGCCCCAGAAATTGCACAACTTTGGTTGAGTGAGACGAAAGTTTCAATGTATGGGTACAATGGATCCTATGAAAAAGTACTGTCTATTGTGTGCAAACACTTCTACTGTATTTTTCATTGGACCATTATACCCATACATTGAAGTTACATGATACTTTCTGTCTCATGCAACAAAGTTGCATCGTGTATGCTCACCTCTTCATGGCTCACTTTACCGGCGGAAGGTATAGTATTGTAGTATCACTTTGCTGCCTTCAAAGTCATCGAGTATTTGGATAACTTTATGCAGTGTTTATTTCAGAGGGTATGTTGAGAATTTTTGGGTGCCATGAATCCAACATTTCAGCTGCATGACTGGATAATGGCTGACATAATAACCAATGAATCACGACACATTAGCTGTGAATATGCTCTTAAATCTCCGTAAATCGCTACCGGAAACTCCATGCTGGCTGTGATGAATACGACTTAACCCTTTGCCTTGTGTGTAGGAAATATGTACGTCAGAAGAGTCATATTACAAGAAGCTAGACACTCTGGACAAGGTTATGAGAGGGGAAGTGTGTGTTGAGCTGTTGGTTCAGCAGTTGCTCTCTTTCACTGCAGAACTTGGCAGGACCCCTATCTCGAAATGGCATCATCACTGCAGAAGAGTGTAGCACCATCTTCAGACACATACAGGTTTCCGAATGCACACACACGTCACACCGAGTCCTCCATTGACAATCTCGGTGTTTGCACAGGTTCTGCTGAACCTGAGCCACTGTCTGTTGGTCCACCTCCACTCTCGTATGGAGGGATGGGACGAGAGAATCACTCTCATTGGTGACCTCTTCCTGGATCTGGTCAGCAAATAAACACCCCTAATCCATGATGATAATTATTGCCAGTAAAACAACTCGAGTACTATTTCTCTTGATTACAGGGGCACCACATGAAGGTGTTCATCAGCTATGCTGTCCATCACGTCATAGGAGCACAGGTCAGAAACATTGCGACATGTGCATGTATAGACAAACATCATGTGTATTATCTATTTTCTACAGCTGATTCTCAAACTAAACAACCAAGAGAGGTTCAGATCTTGGCTAGAGGCAGCAAAGGTAGCTACATTTTCCACATGACAGCATTGTGTGGATGTTGTTAAATTCTGGGATCAATTGTTGCAGGAGGAATGTGAATGGACCCTCAATTCTCTGCTGATAGAACCTATCCAGGTGAGGCTACCTTTCTTTGACTCCCGTAAGACCAGAATGATGCTTCATTTCTCTGCAGAGGATTCCGCGATATGAATTACTGCTGAAAGACCTGTTGAAATACACTGCTGTGGTAAGAAAAGGGGTTTGGAGGGGGAGAAGTATTGTGTAGATTTTTGCTGAGACCTACAAAATTCCCAAAATAGTTTACGGGACCACCCATTCCTTGGAGAGATGTGCGCATGCGCGCAACATTTTGGCGGGAGTAAACCGCGAGAAGCGCACCACGAAAACGCACACGCTGTCACAAAGAACGGACTACTCTTAGCTCTCTGGAACTAGCAGCCCGTTTTCTTCAGTCGTCGAGATGCCGTGCCGTTGATCACCACCGACCGCCTAACGTGCTCTGACTGCCATGGGTGAGTCTCTAGTTGGTTAGTAGCTGTACGCACGTTGTTTGTTTTAGCTCCTTGGGGCGAATGTAAACACGGTTGTCGCCACAGGTGAAGCCCCTAGACCACGCTGCAACGTTGCCGTTGTGTTTCCCAGCAAAGCCTCGCTCTCGAGTGCCGTCTCCAGTTGTATGGACACCAAGGAGCACAAGACGTCTGTAAATGGCCGCTCAATTATCACCTGCGAGCACTCGGAGCGTGTGCGGGTGTGCATGACAGCCGGATATTCTAAGTCCCTCGAGAACGAACTGTCCATGTTCTGCACCAACGATGCGAGTGTCATTGTACCAATCCCAGCACTATTCAGTGAGGTCTTTGCTCTGAGACGAGGTTCGGCCCACCGTCTTGAAATATGCCCGTTTGCCTCATCCGAGCACCACGTGCAACCATCTCCGAATGTCGCTAATCTTGTGACCAGCCTCTTCCGTTCTGCAAGCCCAGAGAGTGTCAAATCCGTTCTATCGTCATCCAGTCCACGTTACTCGGCACTCTCCCCAAGTTCCTGGGTTAACAAACAGGTGTCAGTCGATGGGATCGTATCGGTGCTCACACCGGCGCTTTTCTTCTCGTCTTTCCGTCGATTTAGTGTCTACTTTGTGGCTGTCTGTACGGGGACGGTAGAGGAGGTGTCCGAGACGACAAAAATGCTTGATGTGAACCATAGCTCTGTGTGTGATTACATCAGAGTCGCCGTGTTCCAGATGCTCAGAAAGATGGAGCAAACGGATTCCACCGAGAAAGCTATCCACGAAACGGGCGATATTTCAGTCCCAGAAGCCTTGCTGTATTCGACCGACAATAGCGAGAAGAAACGGCTACTCCCCTGTCCCGAGATCGACGGCTGCTTTGGAAAAGAACCAGAGGATTGTACGCGAGTTTTTCATGGAGCACGTCCCGATGTGCTTGGGAAACGCTCAGGAAATCGAACGATTTTCGAGTGAGCTAATCGGAGGGGCAGCCTTGCGTGACGCCAAGCGATGCATGGACGAGTCAGATGACAATCGTGAACTGGTCTACCAGGTGTATCTTCAGTGGAAGATGAAAATCGGGGACGATATCGATTTAGTGCCCATCATGGATGTCTCTGACAAACTTGGCCTCAGAGAACTGAAGGATCGGTGCAGACATTTTGTCCAGGAACACGCGTTTTGTTTCACTCTACATGAGCTGGACTGCACCTGCTTCGTGGAGGAATGAATTTTATTATTTTGTATCATGGTTATAATGTTTTGAGAGCATTTAAATCTACAGGTTTTTTATGTCACTGTTGTTCAGTCATTATTTTATATTCTGTATTTTCATGTGAAAATATTTTTGGTACAGAATCCATGCTACAGAACAGTATAATGCATGCACAGCAAAACAAAGTTATTACATACGTTGTTTACATTATACACATGCAGGACCACCCAGACACACCTCTACTGAGGGAAGCTCTGGCCTTTGTGCAGAAGGTAACCACTGCAGTTCAAAACCTGCCTGTAGTGAAGTTATAGTCTCTAGGGATTTGGGGGCATGCATATTTTTTTGCCAAACTCATGGTCTACTTGCAGTGTGTAAACTACTTGCAGTGTAAACTCTCTAGGGACTATAATATGTCTGTTGTAACTGTAGTGGTAACTAGTACTTGGCAATGTCAGTATTTGTTTGGTTGAGACCCATCGATACACGGGCCATTTCCACACTCCTCTATACAGTGTCATTTGTGTTGCCCCATCCGCAGATTGCGCAGGACTGCAATGAGAGTGTCAAGAGAGGAGAGAATGAACTGAAACTCTATTCAATCACCAGACGGTTCCCCAACGATGAAGTGGTCAGAAACATCTGTTTACCAAACTACACATTTTATTGTCTCCACTTCTCTCTCTTCCTTCCGTTTACACAGAATGTGATAGTGTCCAGAGGTGCGACAACTATTAAAGAGAGAGGTAAGTCTGTGATAGCGTTCTTGCTGCCACGCACTGAGGTTGCTAGTTGTGTTGACTTTAGTGCAAAGTTAGCTGCCAGCTCAGCAGGACAAGTATAACACTCTGCCAATAAAGTTGAGCATAAATCCCACCCAGGGCAGCTGCATAGTCTCACATGCAAGCCAGACCCTCATGTGCCTCTCTCCTCTCTTCTCACGTGAAGTTCTAGCTAAGTTTGGGTGCCAAATTGCCTTTGCCTTGCAGCATAGCTGTTTCATACACTGCACACAAAAGGATTGAGAAAATCACTGTGACCTATACATCTCCCACTGTAGTTCGACCTAGTGTGGCTGGTGGGATCGGACGCTCATTGTGAGTTACATAACAGATCCCATGAAATCACTTGCATATGAAAAACTATATTCCAGTCGAAGGCCGCGTAGGAATTCTACCAGTAATCGTAGCGTGGATTCGACTCTGACTTTTCGGACATTCTTTGAGCGAGAACACAAGAGGTTAGGCATGTCCTGAGACAGCTACGATAAATACAGAGTGTTCTGTGTTTGCTGCTCAGATTGTTTGTGAAAGAAGGCCCTCTCATGAAAACAGCAGCAAAATTTACTGACCCTTCAGAAAGGTGGGTGAATATACAGTATAATATACCAGTGTGTGTACGTTGGCATGTGGAGAGGGAATGAAAGATAAACACTTGTGTTTCTCTTTCATAGATACCTCTTTCTCTGCAGTGATGTTCTCCTGATTGCCCAGGTAGTTGTGTCTGTGGGCCCTGAGTATGATTCTTATCATGGGTCTTTATAATATTATGTATGTTACTCTCTCCCAGTCAACTAGTAGAGGTCACAAGAGGTTCAAACTAAAGGAGAGGGTACTACTGCGACATGCCTGGGTTACTGACACCCTGTCCCTCACTGGAGACGGCAGTATACCTGACAGAGGTCCTGAGAATACCTAGTCTCAATAATGATATAGTTCACTATACCTATGGAGGGAGATGGAGCTTTCTTCTTAATGTGCATTCACCTCTATAATATAGTGTGTATGCCGAACTGTACACCTTAACTTGCACATTTACCTACATATTGTTCATATACATCTTGCAGTTGATAGTTCAGTAACATTTGCTCTGTGCAGGATTAATCTTTGGGACGCCTTGCAAAGTGTACCATTTCTTAGCCTCGAGTAGTGAGGAAAAGACAGAGTGGTTTGGCCTGCTACACTCGCACATATTCACCCAAAAGAGGCTCTTTCAAAAGGTGACAAGAGTTGTTTGTGCACATTCTCACCGTTTCATTTTCCGCTTCGTGCGTACGTAGCTGCTGAGTCACCTGAGCATTCCTGATGAAAGGTACTTCTGCGTTCGGGCGAAGGCCAAAACCCACCATATTGGGATTCTCAAAGACGGTCAGAACCATTATCACGAACCCCACACGCATGCACTTTCCCTTTCCCTTACAGAGCTCAGTTTCAGAGGAGGGGAAGAGGTGTGGGTGATGGGGTTCAAGGAAGACGGGGGAGAAGGAGGGGAGAAATGGAAGCCGGGACTCTACGCCACTCAGCAGCCTTTCAACCCTTCCCCCGAGTGGTGAGCTCCTCCCTAAACTTTCACTTTCCGCTTTTCAACGAATTTGCCCGTCTTGCGCAATGGGATTAGGTACTTTGGGTCGCAGAAAAACGGCAGCTTTGGATGGTTTCCAGGTAAGTTTAGCACGTGCATGCACCACCACACATTGATATGTTATGACAGCTTTCCGGCATGGAGAGTGTATGTTGTATGTTTCTCTGTAAACAGCTCAGTGTTCGTTTGGAGCCGACTCTAAACGACTGGAGCCATCCATGGAAGAGGTACGCTCATCTGAATACAGCTATACTCATTGCATACTTACAGCCTACACAGTATAATCTCTATGTGTCAATGCATGACACGTTTCACATAATCGGTGCCTACAACCATACGGCATGTGCAATTCAGAAAGGTCATGTTTTTGCTGGAGTTCACTGACAAAACAAGTTGATTGGATACTAATCTTGGTGACCTCTGGTTGTATGTGTCTACCACTATTCCTGTATGGATCTCCTTGTCTCTATACAGTTGAAGCCGGCTACAATGTCGGTGGTTCTAGGGCTAAAGCAAAGGATGAGAGAACTGGTATATATATAATATGCAGAAGTACTGTACAATACAATGCACAGTCCGCTACTTCCTCTATACACTGTCTTCTCTGTCCCTCTCTCTCTAGACTGGTCGACAAGTGGCTCCTTTAACTGAATCAGAGAGAGCCGTCAAAGTTTGCATGGGAGAAGGCAACTTCAAGGTCAGCAGTTCTAACCCTCAGAGTGATGGTATTTTAAATTGGAGATTTGTCCTTATAAAGCTGGGCAAATAATCCACTGGTATATAGCTATAGTTAAAAATTCCCCCTTCTGTAGATGCTTCGCATACCTAGTCAAGGACGTGTGGAAGATGTTGTGAGGTATGACACATTGCACTAGACCCACGAGAGGCTAGGTGTCAGTGTCATTATTCCAACACCATGTAGGAAGTATTTCAGACCACGGCCTGAGAGAAGTCGACAATGGACACTTGTAGCGCAGTCACTGGACGAATCCTGTTAGTAAATCCAATCTCCTGCTTCTATACTAACCCACCCCTCTCCCTCTTTTTTCCCTCCCCTCTTTTGTCTTTATATATCCACATTATAATACTATCTCCTTATTATGGCATGCAGTTCAGAGATTGCTGGGAGATGATGAAGACCCAGGAGAAGTAGTGGACTTCTGGGGAAAGTCAAAGGTGGGCACTATTTGGGGCTTCATATGCTCTACGCAAAGGGGTCAATTTAGGGATTCCGTGAGGTCTCCATAGGTTGGGTTAGCACTTCCTAAATGGAGTTTAGTGGCCCACTTCACACATTAAAAAACTCATTTTTTGTCTATTCACATGCTATTCCAGTACAAATGATTTATAAATACGATCATGCCCTCTCTCACAGGATCAGATGAGATTTGTTCTCAAGCAGACTATGGCCACCAATCACACATCCTCCCATCTCCTCACTCTCGTCTCCTAGCCTCAAATCCAGGGATACATACATACAGTCATCCCTGCTCCCAACCAAATCAGTGACTTCATAGGCTGCACTATTTAACACATGATTTTTGTATTATGTATATAATATAGCAGGAAATTTTTGCATGGTGCAAATTTTTGCGATCGAAATTTTAACAGGCAATGTTTTACTGGTGTTTCTAAACAATTATCGTGGGTATATAACTCCATCCAGTCTATGATAACTTTAATATAGAGGGGTTGTAAAAAATACGACAGTGATGTTGATGTTGGGTGGATGGTGTGTGTTACATGAACAGCTCGTTCCTAAACAGTTGGGACATTGACTCCCCGTAGTAGATCCTTCTAATGGCCTCTGCTAGGAGCATGCTGATGTCAATGGTCCTAATCTTGCTGCACCTTTTCTCGTCAATGTCATGCATGATAGTGTTGGTCACCAGAACCTGCAGACACAAAATATATAGCAGAAGAAAAAGTGACGGTAGTTGGGTCATAACAACCTTTAGGATTTTAGTAAACTTTCCCCCATAAACTGCACATCACACCCTCTCTCAGAAACATATGTCAACAATGCGGTAGCAAGGCAAAGGCAAAGCAAACACATTCCAACAGAGGTTCCACTGTATGTATGTATGTATGTATGTATGTATGTGTGTGTATGTATGTATGTATGTGTGTGTATGTATGTATGTATGTATGTATGTACCTCATCAATGTCCGAGTGTTCCAGAAGCTCTGTGGCAGCCTTGGTGAATATTCCGTGAGTGGCCACCACACACACCCTGTAGGCTCCCCTCTCCTTCAGACACTTGGCAGCTGCCATCAAGTGGTCCAAGTCATCAATGACATCATCCTGCATCACGTGACAGTCACATGACCGGCATGTGCATGCATGATACTCACAATCATGAGTGCAATTTTCCCATGGACGTCTCCTACAACTGTCATGGGTGGCTTCTCCTTTACCACTTGCAAGGCTGACAGGAGAAATAGGGGAGAGAGAGAGAGAAGACATCATGATGATAAATAATGAAACTGCTTACTAAGTAGGAAGAACTGAAGCAAGCACATGTTGGACAATGGCGTACATTGTATGTATGAAATGTGCCAGATCATTATAATAGGATTGTGGTAGTGGTCAAATCTAATTGAGGAAGTTGCCCCACCTCCAGGGATGAGACTGGTCGCTGTGGGTGTGGCAGACGGGCGGAGGTGAAGTCCTCCCATCGTCCTCCTCCTCTTCCTCTTCGGGCGGCTCTCCATCTTTGGACTCTCCGTGGATGACAGCCAGACTCAGTCGCAGTCTCTCCGCATAGGCATTGGCTCTGCACGTGGGAGAAGCGGAGAAGAAGTGAAATAGAAGATTAAATCAGGAAAATACTTCTTTTCACTAATGTGTAATTAGAAATGACAGTGTCCTTTTATAGAGCTCAGTGATTATGTACTAAGCTACTTTTTTAATATCACACTTCATTCTGTGTTTTGTATTTTACTGACAATAACATACATACCTTCTAGTCACTGCTGGACTCCGTGCAACGACCACCGCATTCCTGTAATCCGAGATCTGAAACCCACACCGTAAAAGGAACACCAATCACAACGCGACTTTCACTTTCAACAATAACAACAACATTCCCCGTTCCTTTCACAAACACGAGAAAACCAGTTTTCCCAACCTGTTCTCTGATGTGTTTGATGAGAAATGGCGAGCCGCGGAGGTTATCGACAGTGAAATCAAAAAATCCCTGAATCTCCTTGTGCTTCAGGTCCAGTGTGATGAGCTGATGCATGCCCGCCTTGCACATCATGCCAGCTATCAGTTTGGCCGTGATGCAGCCTCGCTTCCGCATCTTACAGTGTCTACTGTATGGCAGGTAGGGTATGACTCCTGGGGTGTGTGCAGAAAACCAGAAATAAGAGAGAGAGAGAGAGAGAGAGAGAGAGTGAGTGAGAGGAGATATGAAGCATAAAGCAATGAAACCTCTGCACATAAGGACAATTACTACATTCAGGAATAGGTAGTACACTAAAGTATTAGTGTGGGGCAGACAGAACTGTAGAGATATTTGTTCCGGAGGTACTTATACGACCAAGGTTGTATGCACCAATGTTAGTAATTTTTGTGTGTTTCTGCGTATAAGAGGTAGAATATTATAGGCAAGAGAGGTAACGGTAAGGGAGAGGAAACATGTAGCAGTGTATTCAATAGAGGACATAATGTGCCAAACAATGTCGGGAGCGCCAGTTTGAATAAACACAGAGTCATTGTAGGGTGTCCTCAGTGGACACAGTGATAGGGACAAAAGACATTAGTGGTGTAAATGGAAGCTCACCAATGATTCTTCGGGCTGCCGCTGTCTTGCAACCGTAGCACGTGATGAGCATCTCCATGAGAATATCATTGACCGAGAGCCTGAAATACACACACAAATCATGGTGTTCTTAGTATTGTCGGTGGCTCACTTGCTGTCTTCCTCCTCGTCAGAGCGTGCCCACGACCCAGTCTGGAATATGAACACATCTTTTCCTCTGACACTATCATTTATTGCCACTTGACACTCTGAGGCAGGCAGAGGGGGGGAGGGGAGGGGATAGAGAGAACCTGATTGCTTGGCTTGCTTTGTAAAAACAACAGGTGCATAATGATTAAACCCTCAGCGCGCATGCACAGTTAGAGTTGCAGTACTTGGTCTTTGTGTGTGTTTGTCTGTCTGCAATAGGAGTTTGATCAGTTAGTGAGCTCTCAATTGTAGTGTGTTCATCTCGATGATGTTGGGGTTTGGGAAAACATACAGTAAAGTTGTGGTGCGTGTATAGTCAAACACTTGGATGGTACATATGGGTTTGACACGAACCTCCTGCATCCATTTGTAGTTCTGTGCTGCACAGATCAACACCCACCATGCTGCAGAGGTTGGAGAGATGAAGAGAAAATGTGTAATGTTAGAGGTTGGAATGGAGAGAGAGCGTACGTGGGTAGGGGGTGGGGATGTAAGAAGAGCATTCGTCTATGTACATATATCTGTTTCGATTGAAACCAATATCCCGTGTAGGCTGGGCCAACTCTGTTTTGTCTGGTGCCGCCGATCAAATTCCACCCATGGGGTTTCTTGTCAATTAGTAACCTTAGCAACACTTCACATTATTCTCCCTACACCCGCCCATTTTGGCCCATAATACACCAGTGCGGCGCATGCACACGGCTTCCTAACACCTCCTGCAGACTACTGCGAGATCTGAGGATTGCGTAACATACCTGGCAACTTTCGTCGCCAGCGGCCGGCAGGAGCTGCCCGCAAGGATCACCATGCCCCGAGGAAAACGAGAAGTCATTCTTCCATGGGCCGTAAAGGCACTTCCGAATGTATTCATCGCGATCCTGCACATGTAGTGGTACAACCGGTACACAGCCTGTCCTCCGATTTTCGAACTTTGAACTTGATTACGTCATTAACGTTGTGCGTCATTTACACGTGGCCTCTCTCGACCGCGTGCCGTTCCGTTTGAAGCCGCGCCCTTCTCCATCTTTTGGTTGCCCCCTTGATTAGCCTGAAAGACCAACCCCCGTGTGGAGAACGGAAAGATGTCAGCTGTTGGTACAGTCCTGGAGCCTCCTCCCATGTATCGAGTAAGGCCCTACTTTGAGATCAAGAAGGTGCGACTGCCCAACTGCATGTACCAGATGAAACCGCTCCACAACCTGACTGGAATGAAGACTGGAGCCGATGAGGTGTGGACACTTATCTCTTGGCAGCAGGGTGCACCTATTTGTGTCCTATTTGGGCCACTTTTGAAAACGAATTAGTTCACATGCAACATCATACATGTGCACATCCTAGCAACACAGGGGCTTGTTTGGTATGAATGGGCTTTTACTATATAGCTGTCTCTCCTCTCCCTCTCTTCTTTTCCGTCCTCTTCCCTACTCTCTCCTTCTCGTCTCTCTGGAGGTTGTGGGCTCGGCCCTCAGCTATCTAGAGCAGCGACAGGACTGGGTTCTGAACCAGATCAGCCAGCTGCAGGAGAGAGTCAAAAATCTCGGAGACAGTCTTGGAGTCAGTCCTGCAGAAGTTGGAATTCTACCACAGGTCTTCCTATCTATATATTATATAGCTACCTCTGTATACCTCGTATAAGGGGAAAAGGGGAGTGAGATAGTAAAAGACAAAAGGTCGGAGCAAGATAGAGGAAAAGGCGAACTATAGGAGCGAGATAGGGGTAAAAAAATCAAAGGTCTGAGCAAAATTCGGAAAAGGCAAACAGTGGGGATCGAAATAGGTGGAAGAGACAAAAGTGAGATAGCAGAGTCTTTAACAGAGTCTCTCCTCCCAGGCTGCGGCTGCCCCAGGGGGCGTGGCTCCAGACGTGGTAATCAGCTGTCCTCCCTCGGACCCTCCGTACCCCCTCCTCTCTCTCTGTCATCGTCTCGCCGCCCGCGGAGTTCCTCTGGCCTGCAGCGTCCACCTACACTCCAGCATAGCAGGACAGGTCTCCTCCCAACTGATGGAGTTCTGGAAGAGTATCCCGCAGTCACATGACCCAGTCCTCAGGATCACACTTCTCTGGAAGTCTTGTGAGTTGCCAAGACAACGGTGCAAAATGAGCCCCCAAATTTTTTTAAAGGGAACTCCAATTGACATGCATCAGATATGTAGGCAAAGACAACGAAGGCGCACACAGCAAATTAACCTGCTGTAGAATGAAACTCAACATAATTTATTATACTTGGTGATGTAAATAGGCCATTTGGACATGTACACAACTGCCTTTGAAGTGTATAGCAGTGTAGCAACTTGAGGGTGATGTAATACACAATACGTTTCTAAAAATAGCCAACTGCTGTCTGGCCTGGAGTAGGCACTGCCAGATGTGATTTTCATTTTGCCAAGCCAGGTTGCATTCTACCTCCTAACACGCTCAAGCTCTGCCTACTCATGCTTCCGTCACCATACAATGCCTGTCACTCCTCGCAATACCTTACCTAACATGGCCTCCTCTCTCCACTGTCTTGTCACACAAGGCATCTACAAACATTTTCCCTACATGTAGCTTTACTGTGTGCAAATGCACGGGGAAGAGCTAGTGTAACGCACAACATAATCTCACCTTTCTTTCATCCCTCGTATAGCGCTACAGCTAGTATACTATACCCCGATTATTTACATTTGTTGGATATCCCTAGGCAACCGACATGTATGAAGCTAGGTACTGCGGGGTTTTATCAGCCTATACAATCCACCGTATGTGCAAGCAGGGTTCATACATTTGCCTAGGGATATCCAACAAATCTGTTGCAGTACCCAGACAGGACAGCATTCGCCCTGCAGCAGCCAAGTGCTGTAGTTGGTATAATATAGTGCTGAGTGTAAGTTGCGTGGTATGACAAGGGCATGCTGTATTTCTTTAAGGGCAGTTGCTTGGACAGTAACCAAGAAGCAAGTAAGGCAATGCAGTGAGCATATGTTCAACTTAATTTGGTTTAAGTTACCGGCGTTGGTGGAGAAACATTGCTTCGAATTGTCTGTTGATGAAGCAACCATCATTGACAACGTGATTGTTGGTTCAGCATGCTCTCTTGATGAACATCAGTTGCTTGGATGTGCAAGTATTATAGAACACTGCCAGTGTTATAGCCACTGTATATGTGTGAAGCTGTGGGATTTGGGAGGAATGGGATTCCCAACTTGTGTTTGCCCTAGACTGTTGTGGTTGTGTGTTTGAGAAACAGTGATCACGTCTGCTGGCCATCTATAGCCACACTCTCACAGTTCTTTGCAGGAAAGGGACGCTGGGACATCATTGTCATGGAAACAATGTAATATGCATGCGTACCAAGTCACACGCACACCCCAAACCAGTGCGGCATCTTTTTAGCGTGCAGCTATAAGTCCCAATAAACTGCTAAGAGCCCATCCATGCAATGGCTGGTTTACTCAAACGACCTATCATACCCATACATTTTCCTGTTCTACGGTGGATCCTCTGTTCTGCGGCCTTTTGCCTTCGTTCCTGTGCTATATAGCAGTTTCTTATACATAATACCCACTTGCAACTGTACTTCATTGTGCACTCATACATTGGGCATTGAATCAGTGACTTCATACACACAGACATCTCTGTGGGACTGAGATAGAGAAACTGAGGGTGCATTTTTCGCCTGCATGAGGAATTGTTTCCTACTTGTGGGGCACCACATCCTCTCTGCAGGAAATCTTGCTTCCTGCCTTGGGGTCTACTTACAGCCCTGATTGGTTCATGTGTGGGTTGCTAGTCAGTCACCATGACAATGCAGCTGGCAGTCTCCTGTAGTCTTTAGGTGGGAGGAAGGGAAGTGAGGGAGGTAGTGTGGGGGCTGCTGGCTGAGGTGTCCTCCTGTGTGTGGTTGATGGACTGATAATGATACTGGGTCTGCTGGAATGTGGAGGAGTGAAACTCTATGTCCAAAATTCTGCAGCCATCTTTCTTAGACCTGGAATCTCCAGGGAAGGACTCCAGGGAAGGACTCCTGCACTATGTTTGCACGGATAGTTTTGTTGTTAACACTATACAATGCTGGAAATTCTATGCCACTGTTATGCTATTAAAGCCTTTTTGTCTACAAAAGCTGTGGCTTTTTAAGTGAAGCCTTGTTATGGGCAAGTCAATTTTCATTGAGTTAGGGTTTCCCAGACAAAGGGTGGCCATTACCACTCATTGAGTCACTAATAACCCTCCCACTCTCTCTCCCTTCTCCTCTCTCTTGTGGGTGTGAATACGTCCATGTACATTGGAACTATATTATATGTTTGTGTCAATGGTAGATTGGCTGGCCTGTCCAGACCCTATTTGGGCACAGTGTGAACCTGTCCAGTCAAGAGCTCTTGTGGTGGTGTGTGTGTGTGTGTGTGTGTGTTACACAGTATTAGAGCTACACTTTGGAAGTGTGTCTAATGTCATGCTGCTTCAAGGATAATGGCAAGTACGTATTGCACAGTGTATGGGCTTGAAGTGTTGCTATGTGTTTGAGGATGCAGCACTGGCAAATGCCCCTTTCTGAAGGAAGTGGGGTAACATGTCCTTGTTAGGTCACAACTGGGCCTTTGCTTATCTTGCAGGTATACAGCAATAAATATCTTCAACCCTTACAACCCCACCCTCTTGTTGACAATTTTTCCTAGTATATAACACTGCGTTCTTCTACAAAAGTATAGTTGGTTATGATGTATGTGAAATGCAAGCCATATTATCAACTAATTGCCTGATTAAGTTTAAAGGCAGAACCCTCAAACTATGTAGACTGAGCATGTGGAAATGACGTGGCATCTACAAACATGGAAATGTTTTCGGTTTAATCACTCATAAACTGGTGGCTATTATCATGCCAAAGGTGCTGCCTGTACTCCTTATTCAGTATAGCTGATGGGAGGGAGTCTGCTCTTTAGTGATGATGTCACTGTCTCTGTTGGCCCTCTCTATCCCTCTTGGCTAACTTCACCTTCTTCGGGCACGTTGTGTCTGTGATGTGTACACTTATAGTTGTGTCGGCCTACATTTGATGGATCGACTTCAGTTACACTTCCTGACAGTAGCACGGGAGATACAGTAACTAATCCTGTAGTCCCACTTGCATCAAAGGCTGCAGCCAAGATCTTTTTGCTAGTGGAAATGTATCTGGTTGCCTGGGAGACTATTGAGCCATGTAGGAGTTTGAACATTTTCAGTCCCTGTTCACTATTGGATGACTTCACCTTTTGGAACCCTCCTAGTAACCGCACAACCTCTTACTCTTACATACTTGCCTACATTCAATCTCTCAGTATTGGTATATCGCAGAGAGTCAAGGCAAGGTGGCTCTTGGACGATGAATAGAGAGGGTGTGGTCAAACATATATTCATGAACACGGAATTTTTCAAGCGTGTTTTTGTGGGTGGTACCAGTGATTGTAGTGTAGTTTGTGTGGCACTAGTACGCCCTTACCCTCCCTCGCTGCTTCACACACACAAAACCTGATGATTTCGAGGTGAAACAATCTTGTGAATAATACCGATAAACTTGTAGGAATTAGAGGTTGGGATTGTTTGTCGAAAGAATTTCCACCCACATAACTAGCAAAACCAGCTCTCTACCCTCTAAACTCTAGACCTTTTACGTTTTCTGCTGTAATGTTAATTCTGAGTCTGAAATTATTTCCCCACCTCACACACACACATACAGCAAGTTCGTGCCCGCAGCCTACGATGGTCGTCTCTCCACACAACCAGACTCCGGTACGCGGCATCGCAAACATTTCCCGCTACGTTTGTCGACTGTTTTGCCCCGAGCTCTACGAGGGAAGCGGACACCAGCAGTCTGCATTGGTTGACAGCTGGCTGGACGCAGTCACCGGGACGTACATTTTCGGAAGTTCAAAGGAGAAATTGTCGGTTTTACGGCGCCTGAACTCTCATCTCGGATCGTGTCAGTTTCTGGCTGGAGACGACGTTACATTGGCCGACGTGGTTGCCTATGCCATCATCTGTGGGGGGCCGGGGGGCCAGAAATTGACGGATAATGTGAAGAAGTGGATCAATTGTTGCCGAAGTCGCCCCGAGTTTCAAGGTGTCCCGACGGTCAATTTGACCAGCTCCTGACAAACTATGGACTGACCTACAATCCAATTCTTGACATTGTTACACAATCATTGGAATATTATTGACTTTGTGATCATTTTCTTGGTATTTCTTTATGAAAGCTGCATGGTGTATAATATCTGCGACATTGCCTGGGTTTATCATAACAGGAAATACAAACGGACGTGTGGGATAATAACTGCATACCACTACCCAGGTTCTCTACTGTGGGGGCAGGGGAAGCTAGAAGAGCCAGTCTAATGCATGGCTAATACACGGCTCTTTATAGGTCTTCATTGGTTGTTTAGTTAGGCTCTCTCACCATTGAGCCAATGACATTTTATGGGCTATCAGAATGAAATTTCCCCCAAGAACAATGCTGGGACATGCAAAGCAGGTTAGCTGCTGGTGCAAGTAGCCAGTCTAGTGTAGCACGCCCTGCACAATGAGCACCGTGCCACACAATGCTGTTGCCAGTTTGTCCTATAACAGCAACGTCACAGCAGCCCCGTTTTACCCAAATATGGAGCCAGTGCTACTACGGAGGAGAGACGCAGCATTGGGGCCTGATTGCATTCCGCACCCCAGGGCCGCGCTGACACTGTTTTTACCTTATTTGGAGACAGACGATCGCTGCTCTGCGCATGCGGAAGACGTCGACCAATCAAATTCCGCGTAGAGTTTGCGGAAAGAGGGCGTGGCTCGCAGGTATAAAAGCCGCGGGTCGCGCGACGGATTTCCCAAATCAGCACTGGTAATTTCTCCAACCTTGCTCCTCGATTCTTCTCCCTTCGACTCCCACTAGGTGATCAATTCAGAATGTGTGACGACGACGTTGCAGCGTTGGTGGTCGACAACGGCTCCGGTATGTGCAAGGCCGGATTCGCCGGCGACGACGCACCCCGTGCCGTTTTCCCGTCCATCGTCGGCCGTCCCCGCCATCAGGGAGTCATGGTCGGCATGGGTCAGAAGGACTCGTACGTGGGAGACGAGGCCCAGAGCAAGAGAGGTATCCTCACTCTGAAGTACCCGATCGAGCACGGCATCGTCACCAACTGGGACGACATGGAGAAGGTGAGGAACCCTCGGTAACCGGGTGCTAGCAGTGTTTTACCTCGTTTCCTTCCATCCCCTGCAGATCTGGCACCACACCTTCTACAACGAGCTGCGTGTGGCCCCCGAGGAGCACCCAGTTCTGCTGACCGAGGCCCCCCTCAACCCCAAGGCCAACAGGGAGAAGATGACGCAGATCATGTTCGAGACCTTCAACACCCCCGCCATGTACGTCGCCATCCAGGCCGTGCTCTCCCTGTACGCCTCCGGACGTACCACCGGTATCGTGTTCGACTCTGGTGACGGTGTTCCACACCGTGCCCATCTACGAGGGTTACGCTCTCCCCCACGCCATCCTTCGTCTGGACCTGGCCGGTCGCGACCTGACCGACTACCTGATGAAGATCCTCACCGAGCGCGGCTACTCGTTCACCACCACCGCCGAGCGCGAGATCGTCCGCGACATCAAGGAGAAGCTGTGCTACGTGGCGCTGGACTTCGAGCAGGAGATGCAGACCGCGGCCTCCAGCTCCAGCCTGGAGAAGAGCTACGAGCTCCCCGACGGACAGGTCATCACCATCGGGAACGAGCGGTTCAGGTGCCCCGAGGCCCTCTTCCAGCCCAGCTTCCTCGGAATGGAGTCGGCCGGCATCCACGAGACGTGTTACAACTCCATCATGAAGTGCGACGTTGACATCCGTAAGGACCTTTACGCCAACACAGTCCTCTCCGGAGGCTCCAACCATGTTCCCGGCGTCGCCGACAGAATGCAGAAGGAGATCACCGCCCTGGCTCCGCCCACCATGAAGATCAAGATCATCGCTCCTCCCGAGAGGAAGTACTCTGTATGGATCGGCGGCTCCATCCTGGCCTCCCTCTCCACCTTCCAGCAGATGTGGATCTCCAAGCAAGAGTACGACGAATCAGGCCCATCCATCGTCCACCGCAAGTGCTTCTAAGCGCCAGACAGAAACACCCCTAGCTCTAAACCAACCTTGGATGCACTTTTATGTTGGATGAGTAGTGCCCCCACAAACAGCAATTGTAGTTGTGCTCTGTCGTGTGTTTCTTCTGTGTAATGCACGTCTTGGTGTATGCAAGCAATGAGTTTTTAAACCTCAACCAGATAAGACTGCAATGTGGCTATTACAATACAGAACAGCTAGAGGCTGATCGTTAGTGCTTGAATATCTAATTCATTGGAAGTGAAAACCACCTTTCAAACGTGCACGAAGACATGATGCCCACACTCCTTGAGTTTCCAAACACTTCAATGCATCAAGAAACTTGGCTAGACGTATATATTATACTGCTTATTTCTGGCTGCTTGTTGACTTTCATGCTAAAATACAGTAATATGTAGTAGATTTTGAAGGACTGTAAACTATTGAGGTTTGGTTCACTGAGCCACAATAAGTGGGCGTGGCAAGACATACTGATTATTTCTGGCTGCTTGTTGACTTTCATGCTAAAATACGATAAATACATAAGTATATACACCTAACTAGATTTTGAAAGACTGTAAACTATTGAGGTTTGGTTCACTGATGAGCCACAATAAGTGGGCATGGCAAGACGTACTGCGGCTGCTTGTTGACTTTCATGCTAAAATACATAAGTACACCTAACTAGATTTTGAAAGACTGTAAACTATTGAGGTTTGGTTCACTGATGAGCCACAATAAGTGGGCATGGCAAGACGTACTGCGGCTGCTTGTTGACTTTCATGCTAAAATACATAAGTACACCTAACTAGATTTTGAAAGACTGTAAACTATTGAGGTTTGGTTCACTGATGGAGCCACAATAAGTGGGCGTGGCATCATCGCAGCTGAGACCGACACTCAGAAAGGAGGCAGAAGAGGAGGATGGAAGCGAGCCAGCCTGCAGGTGGACAGCAAAGATCTCCACATGCACACACACACAAACACACGCACACTCAAAGGTCCATGTCCTACGCAGTCTGCCAAACCACTGCAAGCCTTCACAGAGCAATGCTAACTATAGACTTCTAACTACGGAACACTTGAACCACAGAAGGATGCCTTTCTGGTGGCATTAGGCAATGCTCTTTTGTAGTTTTGGCAGAAACTGTGTGTACCAGGACCTTTAAAGGTCACAAGGTATGCGTCACAACCCACCTCTCCACCGTCACCATCCTCTCCCTCCCCTTCCCTCTCCTCCTCCTCATCTTCCTCTTCATCAACTCCTTCCCACTCTTGGTAGATTGGCTGGATCACCTCTGAAGACCTATGAACATATAAAACATTAACCCCAGCTAAACAAACACATGGCCTTCGTTATAAAAAAAACACCAGTATAGCAGGAAAAATTTGAAGGTGAAAAAATTTCAAGGGTTTGAGTGTTCGTTGTAACTATTTTGTATGGCAATAGCAGTATGTTGGTGCCATACCTGTGGAGGAAGTATGGGTCGAAAGGGAAGAAGGCATCGAGATAGTTGGTGGTGGGAGTCACTGACTGGGTACCAAGAGAGGCAGCCAGGAGTAGCAACAGTCGCTTGTTGGCCTCCAAAATGGTGTAGCAGAAGACGAGCTCATGGCGACTGAAGAGTGGGACAGAAGAACGAGATGTCGAACACTCAAACATTTGAAATGGCAGGAGAGGCATTATTTAGGGGCATAATGTCTATGTATAGTAAGCATGGTTCTACATTGAAATTAGTGTAAACCTTGCAACTACATAGTTCTAGGAAATCCTCAATTTCCTTCATCTCTCCTTTCTATATCATATACACAAATTCCCCTACTATCATAGTACACACCTCGCCAGCTTTGAAAACTTTCCCACCACACTCGGAAGGCAGACCTGTTTGTAGTGGAGACGTAGAGTAGAGAACACACATTCACAGGGAAAGAGAGAAGAGTAAACGATAACTTACCTGAAGTGGATTCAACTTTGAAGATATAATCCTCTCAAAGTTCAAACTTCGCAGAAAAGTCAGCCCTACATTGATGCACAAAGGACTACCACAGTAAGCTTGTGTCAGTGTATACAGTGATTCACCATTTTCCATCTCCACAAGGCTCTGGTGCCTGAAGACAAAGATGTAGAAGACAGACTGACAGAGGGAGAAGAACGGACCATGTCGAGCTACATACGGCCCGAGAGTGGACGGATCACACATATCCAGATACCTATTACGAACACAGAGGATTGATTTCCAAAGAAAAGCAAGTCGTAGTAATGGACTACTCACTGATGTAACCAGTTCATCATGTGAACTAGGCAGAGCCTTGCTGTTCTGTAATAAAATGTTCGTCACCTCTGTTACAACTGGTTCAATAACTCACTCCACGGAGACGAACTTTGACCTGGCGATGTAACTGGCCATGTATGTAGCGGCGGTCTGTCTCAACACTGCAGAGCTACTCAGGTCTTGAAACTGCAGGTCAGACAAACTACTTCGTCTACACCTCGTTCTATCACACAATTCTTACATCATCTATTAGGGGCACACCTATACTTGATTTGTTCACACAAGAGACACTCACATTTCACCAAAAAACCACCAAAAGTATTAGTCCTATTTAGTATAGGAATGTACCAAAGACGAGAAAAAATGGCCGTGTTTTTTTTTACATTAAACTTGCCTTTTTCCACAGAAAGTCAAGGAAAACTCCAGGGAACTCCTGTAGATCAAGAAAAAAAACAGAACACAATGAATTCGCAATCAATATTATTATTACGAGAGACACGCCAACCTTGTGGAAACTGGTCAAGTAAAAGATGAGAAACTGAACGTGAGAAATGGCGTGTGTCGGTAGAATCACATTGGAGAATACCTGTAAAACCAGTGTCGCAAGAGAACATTAAGGTGTTTGGTGAAGAACAGATTGACAAGACCTTGAAAAGAGTTTGCAGCAAAGCCACAGCTTCTTCGGTGACAAGCTGGCCTGCGAACAAAGAATAATGTAGAATCTCATGCTAGCTCCCGTTTAATTGCATACCATCGTGGAAGCAAACTGATTTCATGTGGTTCTGTAGAACAGTCATGTGGATGTCAAGACTTTCACTCAAGTCATTCCGCATCACACGATGTTTACTTAAACTCGGACCCAAGTGGGGAGGCATGGCTTCATCTCCACGGCAACCATTCTCTGTGGGTGTGGTTTCACTGCCAGGGGTGCTAGAACTTTCCCCTATGGTGGAATGTGCCCCGCCCCCTTGCAACATCATCAGTGGTTCCTGTTCCATGTCGACGTGGAACTGGGGTTCACCCTCCTCATCAATGACCAACTCCATCGACAATTCATCGTCCAGCCTTATCTCAGCCTGCACATTGTAAACATAGTCGGAAACGTTCAAGCTTTTGTAATTCGATAGCTAATAGAAGAGAAAGGTTTTAGCTGATTGCTGGTGCTAACTCTCATCCACCCATAAATAAGTGCTTGTGGATGGCCCTCGAGCAACAAAATGTTCACAAAGTTTCTGCCCTTACTAATATTGCAAGGAGCTTACATCAATGTTGATCATCTTCTTGACGAGGAGACATAGGATATCTTCCGTCACAGTGGGACAGTAGGTAGTGACATGGAGACAGTTCCTTACCGCCACCTCCTAGGTTAGACACACAAAATACACGTTGACTCGACTCAAAATTGAAATGAATTTGTGACCCATAACAAAAAATATTTGCAGTAAAATCTATCCACTATATGTAGGCCTCTTCATAAGGATGCTCCTGAAGTAATCTCTAGAAGGACACCATTTCTTTCCCTAAGCACGCCCTCTGACATAAGGATTGTGTGTGTCCTGAATGGAGAGGTTCAACTGTATATATACACCTGAATATCGGGGCCTCGAGTCCGGAAAGGGTAGTGTTTGTTGAGAGCCGACACAAGCTGAGCTGCGGCACGTGGCACAATCTCCAGGAGAGTCTGCAGACCTCTGTGGAGATTGGAATAACACGCCTCATCCACTTCCCCCGATGTGGTACTGGTGGTGGCAGCGGTCAGAGTGGTGGGCCCTAGTAGAGCCTGAGTGAGTGCTGCTAGAGTGTCCTCCATATGACACACCTGCAAAGGAGAGAGAGGGAAGAGTATAGGAAATTGAAATGGAGATAACATCAATTAGTGTGCAGGCATCTTTTCATTGAGCAGCGGTAAGAAGGAAAGATGAAAAGTCTAAAGTAGTGAGTGTGCGAAGAAGTGCATTCTCACAGTCAGGAAGAGAGAGAAGAGGGGAAGGAAGAACACAAAGGACACAGAGAGAGGTTTGATGAAGATTGTCTTATGCCAGTCAACCTGAGCTGAGAGAAGGTTGGCAAGGTAGTCCAGATACACTTCCACCAGTGACTCTGTCTGAGTGAACCACGGAAACCTCTGTGTGGTTAATAGAAAATCGTTCTCTAATATCCTAGTGAGCGAGGAACCAACCAGTGTGGCAGATACTAGCTGTCCACAGTCCTCGTCAAGACGAGAGACGCACAGTTTGAGGGCCTGGAGCCATTTTCCCATGTCCCCACCGGACATCTCCGGCCCACTCAACTTCTCCACCAGCTCGCCATAGTCTCCCCCGTAACCCTAATATAGAGAACGCCTCCTACACTGCGGTTTTGGGGTCAAAGCATATCACGAATACCTGGTTCTTCTTATCGAGGTATGATAAGATCAGCTTGGCTAGTATCAGTGGACCCTTGCCAGTGGCACGCACGCGAGGGTCCCGCCTGCCAGCCTCCACGGTGTCTGGATCGCTACTCATGGCTCGAGACCGTCGAACACCCTCCGGCAATCCTGGAGCGCCACCAAAACGGCAAACGCTGACTTGGCAACACGTGTTTGACTTTGGTTATAAAGGGGTTAATTCGTCTGGGTCACAAAGGTCAACTTGAGTCGGTCGGCTATAATATACGAGAAATGCGGACGACGGCGTTTAGATACAGTATCTGTGCACTTCGGAATCTCTCCAGACCAAGACTGAAGAGATTTTGTTCTCCTACTTCTCTGCGAGAGCTCCTCCCGTCTGCTGCACCGCCGTATACACAACATCCGTATACTCTACATTCTACCTCAGTAAATTCTTCCGCTGTATTCACCGTAATCTGCTGCCCCTTACAAAGACACTCTGTGGCCTACAATGCCCTCAACCTGAGAACTTATAGCTCTCTCCCCCTCTTGCAATTTCGACATTTTGCCAGCAGGACCACAAGCAGCAAATCTTCGAGCAACAAACACTGTTCGCTACATTGTGGCAACCACTATTGTTGTGCTGGGTCTGTCGTATGCAGCGGTTCCTCTCTACAGACTGTTCTGTCAGGCTTCTGGATATGGAGGCACCGTGACAAAGACAGACGCAGGGGACAAAGTGGAGCAAATGGAGCCAGACAGGGAGAGACCATAGTTGTAAGGTATGCCTTAGTTTATGCATATTTATACAGTGGATTACTTTTCCCTCTCCCTCTCCCGTTCTTTCATGCAAAAGGATGTCCGTGGTTAAAATCAAAATTCAGAGAAATTTTGCCTGTATTCTCACTTTGTGTGTAAGATGTCATTCTGTCTTGGCCATGATTAGGTTCAATGCTGATACTAGTGCAGGGATGAGATGGCAGTTCAAACCTCAACAGAAAGACATCACCGTAAGTTGTACCCTTCAGTGCCTGCAGGTTTTTAACTACAGGGAAGTAGGTCACGTCTTCCCCCTGCCCAACTCCCCCCTTTCATGTGATGAGAAATGCAATGTTGTCTTTTGAGATTGAGGCACAGATAGTCACTCCTCTCCCTATCTTGCCTGCTGGGTTAAACCCTGCCTGATGACCAGTATAATTACTATTTCCAGATTGTTCCTGGGGAGACAGCTCTGGCATTCTACTCGGCCAAGAACCCCACTGACAGACCGGTGACTGGCATCTCCACATACAACGTGGTGCCTTTCGAGGCCGGACAGTACTTCAACAAGATCCAGTGCTTCTGCTTCGAGGAGCAGATCCTCAACCCAAATGAACAGGTGAGAACACAAATCACAACATTTCAGTTGATTTTTCAAACCTGATCACCAAAAGACCTTGGGAACATCGAATGGCAGTGGGTTCCTATTGTAAAGGTGGTGCGGATATTACCGTAAAACATATTCTGAGCATCTTTTGATGTTTTAGCCTCAACTGAGCGTTCAACTACTAGCTTTCGTGGCGCACAATAATAAGCATGCCACGTTCATAACAAACTGATGTCATTCTACTATACTCAGACAATTCTGCAGGTTTTCTAACCAACTTGATCCATGTACGCACAGGTGGACATGCCTGTGTTCTTCTACATCGACCCAGAGTTCAGTGAGGACCCAGCCATGGCCAGAGTCACGACCATCACTCTCTCATACACCTTCTTTGAGGCAAAGGAGGGCGAGTCAATATACCTCCCTCTCCCTCCTCCTCAACATAAACATCAGTAGATACTACGTATGTATATAATTGATATTTTCATCTTCTCCACATAAAAATAATTCTACACTCGAAATGTATAATTCAACCTCTTAACAAAAGTTTGTTCTATATATTGGTCACTCAATGGGCATTGTTGTTATAAAGTACAAAAAGTGTTCAGGTGGTAAGATTCAGAGTTTTGTAACTATATAGGTGCCTGGGGCAGAGTTTCGTGGAGTATGGCCACTCCAGTCCTGTGCATGCACATAATTATGACTACAGCAACTGAACATGCTAAAAACACACTGACAGTGTAGTAAATGTAACAGGGAGATAACAGTGTTCACATCTTATAGTCATCAGTAGCGTAAGGTGGAGGGGGGTTGGCAGGCTCAGTTGATCCATACGTAGGTGGAGGGTTGTAGGTGGGGGTTACAAGGGGTGGAGCAGTGGGTGTGGCAATGGTGGCATCGACCGGATCAGCTGGGGTCTCCATGGCAACAGTGGGAAGGTTCGTGTACTTCTGACTTCGCTTCCGGACGTACATGATACACACGGTGAGCACGATCAACATCGTTACCAGCACAAACAGCAGGGGCAGGAGGACAATGAGGACGTAGATCCAGACGCGAGGATTGCACGACCAGCTATAGTTGAGGTTTGAATCGGGTCCACCAGTATCGTCGCTATTGACTTCTAGCAGAGCCACATAGCCTGAGCGATAGGGCACCGAAACGGAGCACTGACCGTAGAATAAGATGTTGCAGGAGTGGTAGATGCTGACTTGGTTGGGGAGGTACTCTGTGCGGTTCAAAACAAGAGTCGCATCCAGCGGAACGCTACGCAGCTGGAGATTGTCAAACACGAAGTAGTAGGTGTCCTCGGAAGTGAAGACGAACGGGAATGTCATAATTGACTGCGAACAGGGATTAGAGACGGTAAACTGAGTCAGAGTGTGGTAGCTATCTCCATCGTCTTTCCAGCTATTGAAGTTACTCTTCCCCTTGATGAGTGCAAACGTGAGGGGCCCACTCGTTCCACTCAGACAGTACTTCATCTCCATTTTCGACCCAGGGTAGAGATAGTAGTAGAGATACTTGTAGTTATCGGCTGGATTGTCAGCTTCGAACTTGGTCGTGAGGTTGTTCGTGGGGCCAGAGAGTGGTGGAGTGCTGCGGAGAAGATAGAGAGTGGCAGAGTCGTCACCAGAGAGGGTCAGCCCGTCGCAGAACGAAGAAGAGTGGGGCAGGATTCGCGTGTCTCCGGGAGCAAAGGCTCTGTCAGAGTTGCTGTCGTAGTCATTGTAGCGAATCGAGAGAGACACGCTCAGGACGATGATGAAAGTGACGACAAAAAGCATCCCGATGCAGAAACCCCAGCCCCGGTAGAAACGGGCTCGCTGGTACCTGCAACAACAGGAAGTGGTACGAAAGGAAGTAGTATAATAGTTCAGAGGTTTGAGGCCATGGTTTCATGGTGCATGTGTGCCTTTAGACAATGAAATGCATTGCATCATACATATGGGATGGTTTACACAGTACAATTCACCTAAGAGGTAGGATACACAAGGTTAGACTCACCGATAGTAGCCGGCATATCCGTAAGGTCCCCAGCCCCAACCCCACCTGTCACCCCAGTGAGGTCCGACATGGTGGTGGTGTCTTCCCCAACCGTGATGATGGTGGTGGTGTCCCCAACCTCCCCCTCCTCCTCGGTGATGATGATGATGTCCCCCTCCCCACCCTCCTCCGTGGTGTCCTCCTCCGTGGTGCCCGCCTCCGTGGTGCCCGCCTCCGTGTGGCATCTCTCACATTTAAGTCAGCAGAAACTGTGTAGAGACGATATCGAAGTTGTACTGGAGGACAAAGAAACAAGCTACGCTTGCTCGGATGAATGAACGGCTTGTAGGCTAACTGGCACCGCTCTCGATCTAGTTTTCCGCGCACGCCGCTAGTCACATGTCATCATGGAGCCGGTCCAGCCGGCCGACATTTATGCGCGCGCCGTGAACCCGAGCGACGCTAAAGTAGGTGTGGTCGACGACGCTCAAAAAGACGCTGACAAAAAGGCTTTCGAGGAAGCACGAGCCAAAACCAAAAAGAGTTGTGCCCAAGAAGGATCGGCCTTTCGGCTCTGAAGCTACTGACTTGTAAGCTGTAAGTGTAACGAGAGGATTTGAGAGTTTACTTGTACAGGCGACCTTGGTATAGGCATGACAGTTGATCAGGCTCTTGTATCCTCTGTTGTGTAGGTGACTCGAGGCGGCTTCGTGGCTTCCTTCGAGGAACCTCATCCTGGAATAGTTCATAGGTGAGCGTTAAATAGGATACCAATCATCAATAATCCTAGCAGAGAATCTGCTCATATTGCACTAATGCACAAAATAGCTTCGACTACGCTTTCTGTTTTTGGTGCCTTCACCTTCTGGTTGCTTTATTGGGTAGCGCTGTGTCTGTCTAGTTGTCAGACTAAGTGTGTAATGCACCCAGTGTGTAACTAGTTCCACTACACCTGTTTCAAAACACCACTCGACCACAGTACTAGTTCCTCCACATCCATACAGCTCTCAGAGCTAAGCAACTGTGTGCAAATGGCAATAGCATTTCACCCGTCTAGACGTTTTTGATTGCCCCCATGTTGTTAGTTGTTTCGCCCCAAAATAGATTGACAAACACACTAGTATTTCATTATTTGTACGAATGATGTTAAGTTACTAGTTTTGGACCCCTCATTAAGTTTGCTGTTTTTTGAACCCACGTTGAGTTGGCTGTTTTTTGACCCCACGCTTAACTGGCTGTTTCTCTTCCCTCCCAAGGAACCGGTGGCCAACGTCCACCTCAGAGGGAGCTACACATGGCCGATGCCTACTCAGGCTCAGAGCTGCATGCAGTGTGTGCCGGGGGAGACCTCGACCGAGTCGAGCAGCTCCTGTCCGACAAGAACTTTGCCAACAACAACATCAACAGTCTCGTGTACGACGAACGTTTCGGGTCCCTCATTGCCCCACTCCATCTCGCAGTGGAAAGTGGGCACGCAGAGATCAGCGAGCTCCTTCTCAAAAACGGCGCCATCACCTCTACAATTGACGGGGAAGGGTACACCCCTCTCCATATCGCCTGTAACGTGGGGAGCCTGGAGATTGCGCAACTCCTCCTCGCCCACGGAGCCGATCCAGACTTGGTCCATGATGCTTCGGGGGCGACTCCTATAATTGAGGCCGTTTGCTCCGGTTCCCTAGAGTTGGTTACCACTCTATTGACCCACGTGAAGAAACCAAATGCGAAGGATCTGAAAGGCTGGACGGCGCTCCATTTTGCCACTCACTACGGCTACAGCGACATTGTCAAACTCCTCCTGGATCACGACCTGTCCATCGACACAAAGATGAAGATGGGACGGACTGCGCTCCATCTCGCCGCATTTGAGGGATTCGCAGAGTGTGCCGAGGTGCTACTCAAGAACAAAGCAAACGTCAATGTCCAGGACGATGAAGGGTGGACCCCTATCATCCTAGCTTGTCAAGAGGGTCACCCTGACGTGGTGAGAGTCATCTCCAATCACAATCCCGATCTACACCTCAAAAGTGACACCGGGAGAAACGCAATTCACGCTGCCAGCTTCCACGGTCACGTCTCCTGCATCCAGTTCCTGATGGAGCACGGCAGAGCCGAAGTACAAGAGCTACTCGTCACTGAAGACAACGAGGGATGGACGCCACTTCATCTGGCAGCACAGGAAGGCCACCTGGACGTCGTCTCTCTCTTGTTGTCGAGCGACTGCCGCTGTGGGGTTAACCCGGTCGCGAAAAATGGCCGAACGCCTCTACACAACGCGGCCCTCAAGGGATGGGCAGAAATAGTCGTGTACCTCATTCAGCGAGGAGCCGATGTTAACTCCCACGACTCGAAGCACTGGACTCCTCTCCACGTGGCCAGTCAGCACGGCTTCGCTGCCATTGTCCAGCTTCTCCTCAACCACAGAGCTTGTGTCGACGACGTAATCGACAGCAAGCGGAACTCACTCCACCTGGTGGCCTTTGAAGGGCACCTCAACGTAGCACAGGTCCTCCTGGACAACGGTATCGACTACGGTCTACAGGACAAAGACGAATGGAGTCCGCTACACCTCGCCGTGCAGGAGGGCCACGAGAACATAGTGGAGCTCCTACTGAGACAGCCCATGATCGACGTCAACGTGAGAGCCAGGAACAAGAGGATCCCGCTTCACTCGTCGTGCTACCACGGCTGCACCAAAATCGCACGACTGCTGCTGGATCACGGATCAAACTGGAAGGTGTCCGACGAGAAAGGTTGGACGCCTCTCCACCTCTGCTGTCAAGAAGGCCACCTGGAGATCGTGGAAATGCTCGTTGGTCTCGGCGCAGACATCAACGTTCAGGCAGAGAACCTCCGCACGCCCATCCACCTCTCCTGCATGAAGGGGAAACTGGAGGTGGTGGAGTACCTCCTCCAGCGAGGGGCGGGGATCGACAAGAAGGACACGCGCCAGTGGACTCCTCTCTGCATCGCCTGCCACCACAATCACCTCCAAGTCGCCGAGTACCTCATCCAGATGGGTGCGACTGTCAACACAAAGATTGGCGGAGGGAGAAACCCCCTTCATCTCGCCGCATTTAACGGGTTCCTGGAGATATGCTCGCTGCTGATCAAGAGCGGAGTCGATGTGAATGCGAGGGACAACGAGGGGTGGACACCGCTGCACCTAGCTGCCCAGGAAGGCTCCCTGAAGGTGGTTCAGCTGCTGCGAGACATGGGAGCCGATGTGAAGGTCGCTTCGAACACCGGCCGAAAACCGCTCCACATGTGTGCGTCGTCCGGACACACCGACATTGTGGAGTACCTGATTGCATGGACGGAGGAGATCAACATGGCCGACGGGAAACAGTGGACGCCTCTCCACTCCGCCTGCAACAAAGGCCACCTCGAAACAGCCAAGCTCCTCGTTGAGAATGGGGCCAACATCGACGCCGTCATCCAGATGGGTCGAAATTCGCTCCACCTCTGCGCCTTCAACGGTCACAAGGGAGTGGCAGAGTTTCTGGTGGAAATGGGTACCGATATCCACCTCAAGGACAGAGACGGGTGGACCCCTCTTCATCTCGCTGCGCAGGAAGGCCACATAAACATCGCAGTGTTCCTCCTTTCAAAGGGAGCCGATGCCTCGATCCAAGCTAACAACCTCCGAATTCCCCTCCATCTTGCTGCCATGCACGGCCACGCCGATATCGTAGAGGTGCTGCTCAAGCATTGCCCGCAGTCGGACGCGCTTGACTGCAAGCTGTGGACCCCGCTTCACTCCGCCTGCAACAAGTGTCAGACAAACGTGGTGAGAGTCCTCATTGAAAACGGTGCCGACATACACAAGGTGATCGATACCGGCCGAAACTGCATCCACTTGGCGGCGTTCAACGGAGGCAGAGAAGTGTGCGAGATTCTCCTCGACAACGGCTGTGATCTTCTGGCGCAGGACAAGGACGGGTGGTCGTCTCTCCATCTCTCCGCACAGGAGGGGCACCTGGAGGTCGTTCGTCTCTTCCTCGAGCACGATGTGGAGGTGGAGGTACGCTCAAACGACGGACGAACGTCGCTTCATCTTGCCTGTCTCAAGGGGCGCACGGAGGTGGTCCAACTGCTGCTGTCACACGGGGCTGCATGCGATATCGTTGACAACAGCACCTGGTCCCCGCTCATCGACGCCAGCAACGGAGGATACCTGGAGCTGGTGAAGATCCTCCTCAATCGCCAGGTGAGGATCAACATCCAGACAAACGGCCGAAAAGAAACCGCGCTCCACCACGCGATCTACAACAGCCACCAGGAGCTAGCAGCCTACCTCATCGAGCGAGATGCAAACTGTACCCTCACCGACAGCTTGGGGCAGACGGCACTGCACCTGGCCGTGTCGAAGGGGTTTCTCAAACTAGTCCAGCAGATGGTGCAGGGTGGACAGGTCTCGATATACGATAAAACCATCAACGGAGACAGCCCGCTGAAGTTAGCGTGCGCCTCGGGACACTTGGAGGTTGTGGCGTACCTTCTACACAAGGGTGCAGTGCTGAATAACATGATGGAGGACGGACAAGCCGCGCTAGAGGTGGCCCGAAGCAAGGGACACAACGGTATCGTATGCCTCCTCATAAACTCTGGCTGCCTGGACGGTTGGTACGTTGGGTAGCGTGGTCCTCTCCCACGGCTGTCCTTTGTGTCATGTGTGTCCGTGTATCTCGTCTGCCAGTGCATTATTCAAAGCTAAATTGTATACCTCTGCTGTACTCGTTTGTATGGCGCTTTCATGCTCACATGAATACTAGGTCGCAATTATTTCAACTGCTGTTTGTAAGCTGCAGTTTTATAGAGAAGCTCATATATATAAAATACGACAAAATTGAGCTATGTTTATGCTTTACACAGCCAGATTTGTGTATCGTCTATTTTAGTCTCTTTCTTTCCAAATTTATATATTTTCAGCTGATGACCAAAAGTCATGTGTACTGCTCAAAAACCATCACCACTGTTATAATATTTAGCTGATTAATAAAATATTATGCTGATTAAACTGGTGGTAACACAGCTGCCATATGAGCCACAAATACACAGTGTTAGTGTTACAATTTCGAGGTTTGTTCAAAGACGGGAAGGTTGGAGCCAAATAGAATGTGTTCCGATTGTCCTTCTCCTCCATCAAGATTAGCCACGTGACCCTGGTATGCTGGGTCTGTGTGAGGCGTAACAATTGCTAAAGGTTTGTAAGAATATGCGCACATGTGCAGGAGAAGTATTTTCTGCGTGCAAAATCCGAGAAAAGGTTTCTATATAATTATAGTTGGATTTGCATCCTTCAAACTCGCAATTTCACTTATGCTGGTTGGCAAATACGCACCCCTGAGCAGATGTCTCCTGTAAAAGGCGTGGCAGAGGTCCACGTTGATCCTGAATGCAGTGTAGGGATCCCGAGACGACGGAAACTGTGCCCGTAGCTCAGAGAACAGCGACAGGAACTGTATGTCACTCTGGTTCCCATGACTAGTACCCCTGTGGGAAGTCATAGACTGCAAAAATAATTGGGAAACCATTGAGGGAGAAAAAATTTCACGACTCACTGGAAAACTAGATTATAGGAAAGAAATTTCAAAAACTTGCAGACAAAAACTTTTGCTGAAAATATTTCCCCTCAAAGCTATTATGGTGATGTAAGGATGTAACAAACGGACTTGAGGGTGATGATGTTGGTGGTAGTAGGTCTCTGCGAGGAGTCGTTCTTGCTGCTGTGAGAGAGTTTGAACATGGCTCTCACATTTTCCGCCCACTGGAAGTCGGAGCTGTTGATGAAGAGCAGGGGTTGAGTCACGCCAGTCTCCAGGAGGTCTGGATGGATGGGCAGCATCCAACAGTCCATTGCTATGCCACACCTACAATATTATAGAATGGTCCGGAATTGTAGAGTTGTCTATATATCTCAGAATAAAGTGATGAAGTGAAATGCCTATCGCAAAATGCATGTGGTTTCGCAAGGCAAAGGCAAGGATAACTCAACTACTCTTCTTTCTCCCATGCAATTCAAGGTTGTTTGTGAGGAAGAAGAGAGAGGGAGGAGAGAGAGGAAGAGACAGCAACAAACTGGAATCTGTGGTCTTGACTGAGGGCCTGGATAGTGGTTGCTCCTCCGAATGAGTGGCCCATAATGGCAGCCTTCCTCAGGTCCAGTCTTCCCTGAGGACACACACAGACACAGACACACAGTCTACAGCTAGCCACAGCTGAGGGGACCACCCCATCCACCAGACCTGAAACTGTCTGAAGTCAAAGTGTGCCTCCATCATGTTGTGTACCTCCACACCTTCATTCAGCATGGTCAGTAGCTCCAGGGCCAGAATGGCATCACGAGACCTTTGAAGAACCTAGCAAACAGACTATTAATACCTCCACAATACCATGTGGTACCCTTACACTTACCTGCCTATTCCTCAGTGGAAACTCCTTAGCTGGGTTGGGATGATAGTAAAACTCTATCCACTCGTCTCTGAAGCGAGATCTCTCTGAACTAAAACTGGGGACTCTTTGCAGACTAGTACAAGCTGACTGGTCTCTGCATTGTACATCACAACACTGCACCATTTAAAGTGATTTCCCTCCATTACCTGTGCTCTACTGCCGCCACAAGGTAGCCATGGGAGGCAAAATCGCAGCAGATTGCAGAGTTGTCGCAGCGCATTCCACCCAGTCCGTGGCAGTAGACTATAACAGGGAGACCGGTTGAACCAGTGTACTTTTGAGTGTGTAGTTCTGTCACAGCTCTCGCTCCTGGAGTGCTGTGTGCTGCGTACAGATCGGCTCCGAGCACAGCTGGTATCTTGGGATCTAACAACAGAAAAAAGAAAACTAAAACAGTATTAGTATAGTAGGGTAGCAGTGACGAGCCCTGAGAACGTCGTTATAATACAAAAATAGTGCTAAGCAGGTTCTCACTGAGGAGTGGATTATCAACTGAAGCAGCTTTCAGTCCGGGACCCCAGGTTCTCTGGAAGTGAAGGTAGGCCTGTAGGTACCTGTAGTTTCATGGTGGACTAGCTACATGTAGGTAGATATCCCAGCAGAATACGTCTCGTTTTTACTTGCTGTGAGACGTCCAGTTGGTATATGAAGGTGGTGCAGAGCCAAACTGAGCTGGATAAAACAGCCGAACTAGCAGCCCACCACCGAGTTTATCCCCTTCAAACTGTGCAAAGAGGATACATACTCAACTAATGCACAAACTTGTGGAGTACTGTTGTACTTGGTGCATCAGGTCTATGCAGCCGACTGGCAGCTCTCCGGTGGGTGCAGGGATAGCTATACTCTCTCTCGGACCTCTTCCGCTCCAAGAATGATTCATGGCAGCCGAGGGAGAGTAGCACACCACCCGTGAAAAAGTAGTTAGTGCTTTGCGCATCTCGCGCACGCAGAACTGCAAGCCCCGCCCACTTTTACTGTGAAAAGCGCATGCGCTAGTGCGCTGTCGGATCGGTTGACGACTGCACTGGTGGTTGATCGAGAGAGAGGATGGCAGCGACTGATCCTTGGGCGAGGAGCGGTTTTGTGAGGAGCCAGGGCATCCCTGCTCCCTCTGGAGAGCGATCCGTGGGCTGCGTGGACCTCATGCACCAAGTATGATCCCGACATATCCCCAAGACTAGAAATAGACTATAGCTAGTTACATTATACCTGTCGTGTCTGTCAGTTCGAGGGAGACGAGGCAGGAGGGCTGCTAGTGAGACTGTTCTACCCAGCCCAGCTGAATCAGAGTCAACCTCGTGCTCTGCCTACCACCTACGCACCTTGGGTTCCCAACAGCATGTAAGATTATAGCTACCTATCCTTGTCCCATTAGTCAGATATTAGCTAACTCTATTGTAGGTACACTAAAGCATACTTCGCCTTCAAGAATGTACGGTGGTCTGGATTCGTCTCTTCCATAACCAATGCCTTCCTCAGTGAGATTCAAATTAATCTGCAAATAGAGCACTTTACTGAGACTATGGGTGTCCTTTTTTGTAGACCCCAGAATACCGGCCGTGCTAGGAGCTGCACTATTAGGATCGTACTTTCAGCCACCTCCTGCCACCACATCAGAGACTAATGATATCGACAGTGCTCCTGGTAGTGAAACAGGGGTTAATGCTGAATCGGGAGAGGGTTCAGGGAGGGTTAACGGTCCCGGATCACCTCTATTCCCTGTCGTCGTGTTTTCCCACGGACTCGGGGCCATGAGAACAACATACAGTGGAATATGCTGTGACTTAGCCTCCCACGGATATGTAGTTGCGTCGGTTGAACACAGGTAATTAGAATGTGAACCACCATATTATGCCAATGTATTAGTGAATTAATGTCACTCCAGAGATAGGTCAGCTTGTGCCAGTCTACAGAGAGTACCCAGCTCCACTGCAACTGAGGCTAACACATTTCAAGACCAGTGGATGGAGTTCTATCACAGACCGGAGACTGAGGCTGAGTTTCCACTGAGAAACAGACAGGTGTGTGCACCAAGATTAACTACACTAGAAAATTTATTAGTATAGTGAGTATATAGTAGTGGAAGTGGTGTGTCTTGACGTATATATTAGGTAATGGAGTCCTGCTGAAAAGCATAGTAGGCTGACTTAGTTAGTATTATAGTTAGTAATCTCACCCAATGTGTCATTCTTACCTTTAAGGAATTCTCTCTAGCCCACTGGCTAAGTTAACTCCATCTTCTCCCCATTAACTAAACTATGTAGTTCAACAGAATCGTTCTGTAATAAGGTTCTTCAGAGGTCTCGTGATGCCATTCTGGCTCTGGAGCTACTGACCATGCTGAATGAAGGTGTGGAGGTACACAACATGATGGAGGCACACTTTGACTTCAGACAGTTTCAGGTCTGGTGGATGGGGTGGTCCCTCAGCTGTGGCTAGCTGTAGACTGTGTGTCTGTGTGTGTCCTCAGGGAAGACTGGACCTGAGGAAGGCTGCCATTATGGGCCACTCATTCGGAGGAGCAACCACCATCCAGGCCCTCAGTCAAGACCACAGATTCCTGTCAGCTACGTAATCATACCTTTCCCCTCTGACTTATATACTTTCAATATGGATATCTACACTGAAAATACACTCTCAGAACACCTTTCTATAAGGACACTAATACATATACTTCCCAGCAGGGATGTCTCTGAATTAGAATGTTCCCAAAGTCTCAGACCTTTCATAACAATTTGCTATCCTCCTGAAAATCCCCCCCTCATTGCCCTCAAGGTGTGGGATTGCTCTAGACTGCTGGATGGTGCCGGTCCACAGAGATCTCCTGGAGACTGGTGTTCAACAACCTCTCCTCTTCATCAACAGCTTCACCTTCCAGTGGCCAGACAACGTGAGGAAGATGATGAAACTGACTCGTCCTCCGCAGCACACCGGAGCCTCTGCCTGCACCATCCTAACACTCCAGTCAGTAGCCTACAGAGTTGAACCTATGCATACGCACATACTCAAAGGACACAACATATATATAGAAGCAGTTGCATGCATGAAGCATGAAACCAAACCGACATGGTGAAGAGCGGGCAATGACTTCACAAGACTATGTATAATTAAGTGGGAAAGCATGTCAGTTTGAGTTAGCACCAAATCAACAGGTTGCTAGTATGCAATTCAGTTGGCCATTACTGTGATGCCAAAGCGTCAAAATTGACTTTGCCGACATTTTGGCAACCTGCTATTATCTCTATGCCGGCAGAGGGACGAGCCATACAAACCAGTCAGACACGCCGTTTGTAACACCAAAACTGCCTCGAATATTTACCAACATGGAGTCAGCCCTGGACCCTGTCCTGGCTCACAGACTAAACATGGACATCTGCCACGCCTTCTTCAAACGCTACCTACTTAGAGGTATGTATTCGTGTTGAGGCACAGCATAGCAATTTGTTAGGCATGGAAACAACCCGTACTTTGTGTGGAGAAATGTTTCTGTGACAACCATGAAATTAGCTAGCTATGTATAATGTATATTATACCTCAAAAAGTTGGGTATAAAATTTGTAGTAACTTTCCCATTATACAGATCCAGCATACTGTGAGAAGATGGTGCCAAATCTCGATGGATGTGAGGGCCATTCAGACCACATAATCTTTGGTTCGAATGTCGACGTGTCCATCCCATCCGAGGACGGTGTCAACCCATTTGGCAACGGGGCCAGCAGGGGGAAATAAGGAGGGGACTCAACAAGGAGACGTGGCAGGCGGTGCCAACGAACCTGAAAAGTCTGGGGAAGTTGTCGAGATGGCCAAGGAAAAAGCACAAACAGAAACGGAAACATTAGACAGTGAACATGCAGCAAAGTTGTAGGCTCATATAATGTATTAGGTGTGAAATGATGAATTTGATTGCTATTTCCAAGTTGATGGCTGACCACTTCCAATAGGATTGTCACGGTCGGTAGCAGAGGCTTCCCAAATCCTCTTCTTCCCCTTTCTCCCCTGTCTCACTTCCTCCACGGCCACTACTCCAGACCTTCCTCGTGACAAGGTCTTCTTCAGAGAACTCTTCACCCCAGCTGGTGTCTTGGGGGCGTGGTTGATAACTGGTCCCTTTGTCTGTCGCATTCTGCCTCAAAAACTCCAGGCAGCTTGTTAGCTGTAGGTCCAGTCGGTACTAAATCAGTCCCACTCTCTTTCTTCTCCTCTGTAGGCCTCGTATTTCTCTGAGATTTCAGTTGGTACACCGACAGACAGTCTCTTCTTTACACATTCTGAATCTCTGCCATCGTCCCCTGCTCTCCCTTGTGACTTCTTCCGCTTCCTCGCAAGAGATTTCGCCGTCAAATCTTCCTCTGCGGCTCCTCTTTCTCTCTTTTGTTTTTCTTTCCCGACAGACCTCTTGACAGTGTTCTCTGCAGTTGCTTTTGACTCAGATTTCTTGCTTTTTTCGTCACCCCCTGAGACTTCACATTCTCTGTCTAATGCTAAACCATCCACTTTACCTCCATCCAATATTTTCACAGACGCCACCAGCCCTAAAACCTTGGAGCAGAGCACACACACACACACACAGGGATCTACAGAGTCCATTAGGAAATGCTCTGAGCTCACCTCCTGAAGGTAATTCGGACACTCGCACAGTTGATTTCCTTTTATATTGAGGTTCACTAGCTGATCAAGACTGCTCAGTGGTTCCAGCACACTACACAGTGATATGAAACTACATTAAAACTGATTCATAGAAAACTATAACGCTAAGGCAGTTTGCACCAAATTGATACTACACATGCAGTAATCGTAAGTGCTTTAATGTGTTTGAGTTCTTAATGGCTGCCAATATTTAGTAATACCTGATAGTTTTCAGTTTATTGTTGCCAAGATCAATGATCTTTAACCTGAAGCATTGTGTTACAATAGCTCACATTCAGCGTCTGTTGTGTCTTAGCTTACTTTCCGTTACACTTCAGAGATTCTGGCAAACTCTTGATGTAATTTCCATTCAATCTGAGTTCTCTCAGTTCAATATTGTTCTGGAGAGCAAAAGGAAAATTCCAGAACACAAAAAGTGGAGATGCTGGGGTTTGAACCCAGGGCCTCCCGCATGCGAAGCGGGCGCTCTACCACTGAGCTACATCCCCCACTGAGCTACATCCCCCACTGACAACCACACGATAGAAGTTAGCCACGCCGTACCTGTGTGTTTGGTACCGCCTTTAGAGCGTTGTTTGACACGGACAGCTTCGAGAGCTTCTTCAAGCTATCCACACTGACAGACTCAAACTTATTATGTGAGATAACTACAGGACCGTTCATCATTAAGGTTCGCAAAGGTATATACAATGCTCACCGAGAGTGTTGAGTTCAGAGAGGGAAGAGAGACCTGGCAGGCATGATAGCTGGTTGTGACTCAGAATGAGTGCCTTCAAACCTAGGTACATGCAAGTCTAATACATGTCTATAGAAAATGTATGCAGGTGTAAAGAAACATATGTAGAAGATAGAAGAATATATGTAGAAGCTACTCTGTTTAAAGGCTAACTAGTAAGGTTGGAGAGGTCCACACACGAGGTGATACTGTTGTTGGAAGCTCTTATGACCGACAGACTGGTCAGGTACTGCACACCTGCTAGCGAGTCCAACTGGTTGTGGGACAGATCTAACCAGGTCAGGGTTCTGCAGCCACCTATAGGAGTGGAGTACACGGCAAGCGAGGGAAGAGGGAGATGTCAGGAGCTAGTGGCTGTTTGTCTCTTACCGATGCCACCTAAACTTTCCAGGAGGTTATGAGAGAGGTCCAGCCTCACCAGCCGACCACACCCTCTGCCAAAAAAACAGACTAGAGCCCCTTCCTGAAACGATTCCTTGTTACCTGAGGTTCTTTACTTTCTCTAACCGCCGGCTTGATGCATCCAGCCTTTGGATTTGTGCGGCATCTTGTCCGGTAAGCTTCTCGGCCAGAGAAACCGTCAAATCGCCCATACTTCTTCTTCTTCTTCTTTGTAACACGCAACGCACACGTGCGTGCGTCTAAAGGTCGCAAATAATTAGCGAGAAGTCTTCCAGCCCCACCCTTTTCCCATAATCTCTATATGGAGTCGGGTAGTAAGTAGAATACAACCAGCACGTTCAGAGTAAACCCTGCCAACGAGTCTTCAAAAGCACTCTAATGATTGCATGTGAAGCCTTTTGAAGTGGCTAAGGGTTCCTATTTCCTGGAACTGTCTAGATGCCATCATGAGAAAGAGTATAATATAGGCTCCCATTGTGCAGGGAGGCACTAAGCATCAATCACTGTCATGTCTTTCACAGCACATGATCCTCAGTGCCAACAGACCGCATCATGTGGGGCATTCTTCACTGCAAACTCAAGTGGGGGCATCTGTACACTGCATGCGGGGGTATAATAACAGACTTTATATTCGAGATTGCGCTTGGCTGAATCTTTGTATCGTTTTTCATGTGGTAACTGTTATGAGTTCTGGCATTCTTTTACTCTGTTTCTGGTGATATAACGATGACTGGAAGATTCGGTCTAGTCAAAGGGTGCCTGTGTAACAATGAAGAGAATGTACAGTGGACGTATCATCCAAGCCTCTATAGTTAGAGTTTTCGGCTTGTAGCTATATGTTGTGGAGTCACGACTAGTAAGTCAAATGCACTGTTGATTTTTACTGACTACCTGACCAGTATGGAACACGTGATTCTAGCTGGTGTGGGTAATTATCACATAACTTATGACCACCAATGTGTGCATAAGGGCTGTCACCTAAATCACTGGAGATAGGAGGAACCACCAAAAACACCAAAAGGCTTCCCAATCATTAGTATACACAGTACTGATCAACAGTGTACTCACAAATTACCTTAGAACCCCACACTAAACACATATCCCACACATTCTACAGCAGCAGCTGTTAGCTAATGACATTGCAGATGGGATTATCTCTTTGGGTCAACTTGTAGTGCCCCATGCTTTGACTGTGTTTAGACTAGATCGAGACAACAACACTGTAGCAGAAACACACAAATAGAGACCTTACTTTAGCATGTGCCATGCACCACTGCAAATGCACCAGCAGTCACCGGACCTACAGGTAGTTGTAGGCACCGTGAGTCCATCACCGGTGTAGATCAAAGGGTTGTCTCATACTTAAACCCGATGGACGTAAGCAATTGAGGTATTCCTGCTCGCGTGCTGGCATTGAGGGCACATTAGAAACCCAAAAGAGAGATTCCACAAATGCATACATTCATTAGGAATATTGGCTCAAGGGTCTGCAGAAAGAAGGTTGCTGTTAGTGTGAGGCACTCCCCCTCACTGACAGCTGTTCAAAAACCTCTGTGTCAAAGTAGCCGTCAAAGTGGTCAGCTTCCTCCCAATTACATTTTTCAAATTCCCTTCAATTACTGCTGCCGATTCCCGGAGTAGCTTTCTCAAGAGGTCACCATGGCTACAGTGAAATCCTTACACTTTGATATTCATTCTTTCCGGCTGCTGGTCGGGCAATTCAATTTGTTCCCTACATGTGTGATCATTGAATAATCATCACTTCACTTGTTTTACCTGGAAATGGACATTCCTGTATTTTGGTCTATTCCTCAGTTCCAAAACAAGTTCTTGAAATGTCATACATAATTAGCATACTGACCCAAATTATAAGGCTACCCCTGCATATTAAGGGAACACGAACCCCAAGCCTTGCGTCATGTGGGTGTGTTGCATAGTATCATAGTAGGTTGCTGTCTTACATGAAGATGGAGTGCACTTTATGGATGGAGTGTACTTTATGGATGGAGTGCACTTTATGGAGATTATGCCCATGTTAAAGGTTGGCGGGCAACTTAAAACAGTCTTTGAAGTCGCGGTGGGCCTAGAGTTACATGAAAGGTATATAAGTAAGGCATGAAAAAGCAAGCAAGCAAACAATTCAACAGCATCCATGACAAAGATAAACTGTCCTGGGTGGGACTCAAAACCACAACACTATGCTCTCAGACAGTTCCTGCTGAGCTATATGCCAGCGCAGCTCAGGAGGCAGGGTTCTACGTCAAAAGAAACACACTAAACCACTCTGTGTGGGACACAGAAATATTATGCGTATATAGATTCACACGAATTGAATCAGTTCAGAGAGCATGAATATCAACTGTGTGAAGGAAGTTGATACAAAATACGGCAGGTGGCAGTGTGTAGTCACCGTATCACTCACAACTGATTATTCTGAGTCATGCCATTCCTAGAAATGTGAACACCCTGTGGTTAGATTTTAAAATGTTTCCCACGTATGCATCTCTATATAGTTTGCCCAACCATTACAGCAACGTGTATTATAACAATCCTATATCTCATGCATGACCTATGGTTACAGTTAAACAGAGAGAGAATTTTCTTACGGTACCTATTATACTTGTCCAAGCTGTGACATTCAATAGATATGCAAAACACAGTTGATGTGTTTGACCATGTGTTCTGAAGTGCCTCTGGCATACCCAGTCATGTGCGCCTAAAGCTTCCTGCACTCACTAATTATTGCAAGTGGGCATTATCACTCAAAGGGATTGTGCATACTGACACATTAGCTCCCACCAGCAAACCATTAGCCATCCAGGAATGTTAGTATTGCGGTACTACTGTGCACTAGAGCTAGAGTGTGTGCTGTGTGATAAGTTGCATTGCTTGAGCCTAGACCTGCGATTGGCCGAATCAAAGACCATGGTGTGCGGCACGCAGCTGCGGTGCCATATAAACAAACTTCTTGATGGGATACATACCTCATTGCCCAAAGGCCTGAAGGCAACACAGTATTCTAAGCCCGATATACGTCCTATGGTAAACCAGTCATTGACAGCATCATTCATTAATAGCGTCATTCACAGTCAATTTAATTCATGGGAGGTCTTGTCCACTTGGTTTAGGTATTGGTGGTAATTGCATTTTTAAAATTTCCAAAGCTTTGGTGCTTTGATCTTCCCACTCTTGGGAACTGGTCACCTCAGTTTTGTCGTTTTGATCTTCTTAGCACTCGCACAGACTAGGCTCCGAAATGTCAATCATGTGCTGAGGATTCTCCAGGGGGTATCAGATGTGTTTTCCTTAGCTACTCTCTCTGCCTTCTGTGGGGTCCATTGTCAGTGGGTGGGTGGTGAGTTGCTAAACACTTCCCTACTGCAGTAATTGCCTGTTGTGGGTGCAATGCCGTAAATAGGCCTTTAGCAAATTAACGACACGAGTGCGAGTTTATTTACGTAACTTGCGCATGCGCATGCGCAGACTCCCCGCGTTCGTCCCGTTATATGCAGCATCGGGGCGTGTTGTGTATTTCTTCGCCTTAGTTTGACTGGAGAGAGACAGAGGGAGAAAGCCAGAGAATGCGCATCTCGAGCGAGTGCAGGCTGCGGTGGCTGGCTGGAGCGGTGTGCTGGTCGGCTTTGCTCCTGGCGTCGCTGTGTGGTGCAGCAAGCCGCAATCGATGCCTCAAGAAAATGTCGTAAGTGCTCTATTTAGCTGCAATCCGCTACGGCGATTTGCAACTGTGCATCTCGTGCGTTGCTGAGCTGCGATCTAATGTGGAACAAAGAGCTTGCAGCGAGTTAGCTCAGAAAAGTGCGCCATCGTTGGAGGTAAAGTTATAACGACCATGCTGCCGCTATTTCTACAATTTCAGAAGCAGAAATTTGGCTCCTGGGGAGGAATTCCGGGAGACGAGGGTCTCTCTTAACTGCGACAGGGGAGACATCAAGTGGCTGGGTGCGAGAAAGACACACATTCTTACGTTCACCAAGGGCAACCAGGACCTTGTTGTCTGTCTAACTGTCGAGAGACCAGGGGCACGTGTCTACCGCCTGAAGGGCACCCAGCGACTGCTAATTGCAGGAGAGAACCACACTGGATTTGTCGACTGCTACGAGTCGGAATGCAAGCATGTGTCGTTTCGGTTCCAAGTCAGCGATGACTACAGTGGACCCACCAATCTCTTATACTCGTACAGTGGCTACATTGATATCAGTGAGGCACTCAATGCTGTTTAATGCAAATCTCTGTTACTTTGCTGATTTTCTTCCTACTGCAGAGTGTCCTGAGTGCTCTGAGACATGCCAGACTGACTGCCTCTGCAGCTCTGAGTTTGGTACGTCACACTATAAATACATCTACCCACATTCTCACAGCAGTAGGTCACCCTAGTATGGCACAGGCGTAAAAATGGGAAATAGTATACAAGCTAATGACTAGGGTTGCGTGACCCAATATATGAGGCAGTATTAATGATCCGACAGATTATGTATCTTTCTCTCATAATAAACTATAAAGACTTGCAAGAGAAAGACGTTCTAGTGCCCTACAAATTGCATCAATGCAAGCTCTCTCCCCTTCAAATACTACCGTACTTAGTGATATTGAGGCCTAGACTTAGACAGAATATATGGGTCAGTTTATCCAGCACAAAAATATTTTGTCGCAGTTAGAACATGAATATTGTGTTCAGGATGTGCAGTCATGAATATTGAATCATGCACATATTTATCATTCCTATCGCCCTAGCCATTACATTCTTGTGTAACAACCTGTCATCGTGATTTGTTCCTTGCAGCATTTCATGGGAAACTTGTGAGATCAGTGTACAGAACCAACACACATCTCAACTATTTCCAAGTGGCTGAGTTTGTGCGCTACAACGGAGAGTACAGAAAACCAACCTTGGTGCATCACACGAGCGACTGCCCCATCGTTAGTTCAAACTTAAATCCAGAGAACGGCACAGAGTTGGTGGAGATGCCCGGGCCAACTTTGGAAGAGAGAATAGCGGCGGAGATCCCGGTCAGTGGGACTGTGAGGGTGATAGCAAAGTGTCCGCTGAAGCCGAACAAGACTTATTTCGTGTCCGCACGGCTGCACATTGCACCGAGTGGGCGACCGAGGTTAATAATGTGCTGCCAACACTCGGACGAGCATTTCGCCGAGGCTCACCTAGAGCACCTCATTCTTAGACAAGAATGCTGCAGACACGTGCGATCACCTTAGCTTATTCTCCAATTTGTCTCGCACTCTTCGTTTGTGTGTGCGCCACCTTTGCACCTAGTGCCGTGTGAGTAAACTTTATGTTGTGTAATGGGTCAAACAAAATCAGTCATTATTATTTCATCATCAGTTCTGAAACTTCACCATCCTTTTATAATGGATATTACAATTATACACCTCACCACTCTTTTATATGATGTCTCCTACTGTAATACACCACTGTGTCAGATTGACATTCTAAGCATTTCATGGTTGTTTTAGGTGGCAGGTTCATGTAAACCAATTTGTCACATTACATGACAGTGAAATATATACCTGAACCAGTAAGACAACTCCAGCATGTTCCAAACATTTCACATTATGTACCCCAAGCTATACACCAGTGCTCTAACAATATTAGTCAGATTTGATTTATGCAACAGCTTACTGCAAACTAATTTGTGACGGTGAATAATAACACCACGAGCCAGTAAGACAACTCCTCACGTTCCAAACATTTCACGTGTTCACACATACCCTTCGTTAAGCTATTAGCCCCTTGAGACTGTGTGTCAGTATGGACCCCACATGTTCCTATATAACCACATCATTACGGAACCAGATACGGCTCCATTGATAAGTAGGTAAATCAGCCAGACACACACATCAAAAGAATGCGCTAAGCTCTCAAAAACTCCAGAGTGACTTACAGACATGATATAGCTACCACATGGGTGAAGTGAAGTATAGCTACGTGGTTAAGCACCTGCAGCATGGTAGACATTCTAGCACATTAACTATTGACTTTGTTTGAAAGTGACTAACTCCCTCTACCTGTTAGCAGTACTTCACAATAGTACTGAGCTCACCCAGGAAATTACATTCTAGCTCATCTACACATGGCTAATGCCCACTCACCCATGTGGGTCCATACTGCCATATTTAGTCCTTGTATTTGTGTACATAATGTGCCAGTGGTTACAGGGCTCAGGTCAAGTGCTTTTTAAAACTGGCGGAATGCGAGGAATCTGCGATGCTGTGATTAATTACACCATCTGCACCACGCACAGGTGTTGCACCAACAAAATATCATCTGCAATTTGCCACTTTTGAAGATCTGAAGAAAATACAACAACAGAATTCTAATTCCACAGTGATCCCATCAAACTGCAAAGTGTTGCAAAGCGACGAGTGTTTGTGGCTCCACAGTGGCTCTACAGACAGGGCACTCTCGGCGGTCCCTGACCCACTCTGCCACACACTGCCAGCAGAACAAATGGCCACACCGCGTGGCCGTCACGCTGCGACAAGGCTCAAGACACAGAGGACACTTGAGTCTTACTCTCCTCTCGGTCCTCTCCCTTGGCTCTGACAATACTCTTATCCCACTCCCTCCCAATTCCTCCCTTGCTTGTCCACAACCTTTCCACAATCGGTAAAGTTTCCTGACCAACACAAGTAATTTTACTGCAAGTTGGCAGAGCACCAGCCAGCCCAGTAATCTGTAGGCCCCCTGCCGCACTAATTGGTCATTTTCTAGCGGTTCATAACTAACCACGAGGTATTTAATTCCTGTCAGTCTTTTCCCGAGTAGATGAAAAAGCCCTCTGATATAAAACAGACCCAAATGGAGTAGGTGCACCAGAGAGGCCAAATCCTCTGCACAGTCAAGAGCAGTCTCAAGCAGTCCGTACTGCCGGTGGCTCAAACTCAGCGATAAGTTTCTGTCCCTCACCCTCTGCCCCAGCCATCCTAGTGTCTTCTCGAGGACGTACGGTCCAAGAACCTGGAGTAACACGGACGTCGTTCGCCGGAGAAAACCTGGCACTGCAAAATGCGTGTGTTGCGAGGTGCTCCGTCTCGTTCCCGGTGCCACTTGGACGATGTTGCAATACTCTTCCCCAAGAGTCTGGTTTCCACACACTGTAGTCAGTCCATAGTACCACACCTGAACCGCATAATGAGCACACACAGAGGGAGGTATACATAATTTCCATCACATTAGGGACAAATTAACATTGATTAGCAGCACTGAAGGAAAAAATTTATATATAATTAGGTAAGCACTCCAGCAATTTGTGAGACTTTGTCACCTAACGAACTATGTAATTTGAATTAAAGTGGTGAGCACCTCGGCAATTAGTTGAAACTCCCGCTCCCAACGAAGCACGTAACGAAGGGGCAGAAGGTGATGAATGACGTCTGTCACCAGGGAACCGAGGTAGCTGGAATAGAACCTGTCTTTCTGGTCACCGCGGACCAGCTCTGGAGCACCTGCAGGCACTAGCTGCAGTCTCCGGCCAGCCATGACACACACACACACCTGGACAGTAGGTTAGGTAGGTAATTGACAATGTGCAGCGTCTGCAAATTAGCTAGACTGCATTCCATTCCACGCGGATATTAGGCGGCAGACCAGACAGCGTCCGTTATTGCTGCGTGAATGGCGGCGTCTGAGAAGGTCAAGGTCAACGTGGTAGGCGTATAGACACGTATGTGTGCAGAGCAGTGCACGCACAAGTGTATGTCGCCAGTGAAAACTAATACCTCTGTTCTAGTCGGTGATCATGACGGTGTACAACGGAGCCGAGTGGCTTGGGGAGGCCCTCTACTCGATCCTCTCCCAATCCTTTCCTGGGAAGATGGAGCTCTCGCTCTTCGACGACGCTTCAACAGTAAGCCACGCCCCTCTTATTTGCGCACACGTGTATTCTTTGCTGCGTCTCAATTCCGTTCTGCACGGGAAACGAAATCCAGCCCCACCCACCCTACACATAGAGACGTGCACTGTTCTATACATTTAGGACGATTCCACGAAAGTACTGGACGACCTCCGAGCAAAATTTGCAGAGAGAGACATCAAAATTGTAACTGGCAGTACAGATCAAGCAGAACCAAAAGGAGGTCTGATCCTCCATAATAATAATTAAAAAAACAATCTACCCAAAGAAGTGTTTATTCCAATGCAGTTGGCTATGGCAGCAACCGTGCGATAAGACAGAGCTCGGGGGATTTCATCTGTGTACTAGATGCCGTAAGTTTCTTTCACTCTTCTTCTCCTCCAATGAACAGTTTGCGTTTTTTCCCTCAAGGACGATGTGATGAGAAGTGACAGGATCACGGAGCAGTACACAGTGGCTCGAGCCCACCCAGACGCAGTAGGTGTGAGTCTGCTGGTTAATGAAATTGACAAGGGTGTGCCCCATTTTTCAGATTGTTGGGAGCTGCTTCTCAAGAGAGCCGAAAAAGGTCGACTGAGCGCTACACCAGATGGTGCAACTCAATAACCCCTTCCCAACTATACACCCAGGTGAATTAACCCAAGTCTGATCACATCACACAGCTGGTGAATAACTTTCCAACTACTTGTGCAACAGGCATTCACTGCGTTTGGTCCCACTGTGATAAAACCCACTTGGTTCTTTGCTAGAGGAGTGTTTGAAAGAGCGGGACCATTTTGTGAAGATGGAAAGGCAAGCATACTTCCTAGATTCTTAGCTATGTACATATGGGGCTGCTGTGCAACAAACCAAGTAAAAGTGGTGGGAAATAGAACCGAGGGGTAAACAACAGATAATGAGGGCCAAATATGAAAAAAAAAGGGGCAAAATAATTTGAGGGCGTTTTAGGATTTGGGGTGTCTTTGAAGCTGTCCATCTCCCTTTGCCAACGGCCATTCCACACATTGTTTCAAAATGTCACAGTCAGGCATCTCCTGAGGACACAGATGCCCAGCCACCTGTGGGCCTTTGCTTCCTGTGGGCCTTTGCTTCCACAGACTTTCAAAACCTTGACCAATCAACTAGGCATTTTTCGACGGGCCAAAGGGTCTACAAACGCACAACTTGAAAGCTGCTGTAGAATGCCCTCTGTTCTGTGATGCCTAACGATGCTAATTACCTCAGGGTGTGCCGGAGGATCTACTGTTCTTCTACAAGCATCTCTCGGTCGGTGGGAAAGTTATGAGGATTGACCTTCCCCTTGTGACGTACAGATATCACCCCCACTGTGCGACTCACTCTGTCCACAGGTATATACACTTAGTTAGTGTAGCTGTCATTTACTAGTGATAGAGGTTTTTGAATAAAGGACACACAGGGACCAGTATAAACAATAGTCTGTCATGTGTCCAAAAACACCAAATACAGACACTAATGAACAAGTACGCAAAATACGCCAAGTAACAAGTGTTATTTCTAGAAACGTATCCTGTACTTCGAGTGCCATTATAAGAGGTTCCATGTATATATATTATAGTCTGTGATACGTATACGATGGCTCTGTAGGGACACAATATGGAAGCTGCGGGTGAAGGCCGTTCAAGAGTCTGTCCTGTGCAAGTGGAGGCAGTTTACAATCTGGAACGCAGGGAAGCAGGGATGAAGACTGTTCCGGAGTTTAGCACCAGAGAGCCAGGCAAAGGCAAGCACTCTATATACACACACACTTGTCTTCTGTCCAACTTGTATATGCAGTGGAATCCTTGTTAAAGAGGCATCCTCATTAGGATATGCAGTGAAATCCTTGTTAAAGAGGCATCCTCATTTCAGGAGTGTCATTAGAGAGGAACAATATAATTTATAGGACTACATCTTATTGCAGGTGGTCGCATTTTGTGATGTGGATTCAAAAAAGCTATCCCTTGGTCATTACACATATGAAGAGAGCAAAGTATGTATATATAATATTTCTGGAGATGAAAGGTGGATAGCATTCTTTGAAATTTAGAACATTCCTAAGCCGAGAGTGCCAATTATACACTACAAACACGCAAAGCCGCCTTTGCTTTTGTGCATCAAATGGGTGAGCTCCTTAAATAATGGGTCGTTAATGGTGTGTGTACTCGGGGAATGTTGTACAGGACCTCACTGGAGGCGAGTTTGAGAGAAACTTGGATTCTCTTGGGCTGAAAGAGGGAGAAGATTACTACCATTTCAGCTAGCCCACTCACTCTCTCTTCCCATCTCTTTGTCTTCTTCAACACACCATTCTCCACCATGCATTGGACAGTACAGATGTATATATACTGCAATATACATGTATGGATGCAGTTGCGTTATAAAGGAAGCTATATGGTTGACTGGACTGACATTCACAATAACATACATTCTCCTACGACTGCTAGTAGTCGTCCATTTTGCTCTTGTCCTTCTTTCCTGAACACAGACACACACACACAACACACACACGCAATATAGACACACTTCGAGACACAGAGGGATTGTGAACCTACCTCGGTAGTGTGACGGCCATGTTTCTATCTCTCGCAGGTACACTTTGGTCCCTGGTCTCACCAGCACCCATAGTGGGCCTGTGACAAGGAAGAAGCATGAACAAAGGGGTCAAAGGTCGTCTCTGCACTCTGACGTCGGAGCGAGAGAACAGCATTGGTGGGCTCACCAGCTATTGCCATGGCTCCAGACACGAACAGAACTGGTTGCGTCGCCCAGGCCATACGTAGCCAGTTCCAGCTGGCCACCACTGGCCTAAATATCCTCGCAGCCGCTCCGGACATCTTGTCACGGTCTCTTCCCGGTAAAAAATACGCGGCCGTTAAATATTTCGTCGATCGGGATGAAAAATTAGCCTTGCCTGTTAATTGTCATGGTAACGGAGACACAAGATGGCGGAACAGGACCAGCCGCTGCTAACGGAGGGCGAGGGAGACGGCGCGGGGGCCGCAGAACCCCAGGGCCCAGTGCTAGACATAGATATGATTATCAGTAGACTGCTGAGCTACAAGGAGAAGCCGGGAAAGCAGGTGCAACTTGCACAGATATTCATGACTTACCTGTTGCCATTCCCCTGGGACAGGTGAACCTGCCAGAGAGCCAGATCCGCCAGCTCTGTGCCAAGTCACGTGAGCTGTTTCTCTCCCAGCCAATGCTTCTGGAGCTGGAGGCTCCACTGGTGATATGTGGAGACCTACACGGGCAGTATGAAGACCTCTTGCGATATTTCGACAAAGTTGGATATCCTCCCAACACCAACTTTCTCTTCCTAGGAGATTATGTGGACAGGCAAGCCTATTCACATTATGCGGAGTGAAAATTTGATGCACACTGAAGATTAGTCTTCCTGCCTATCTGCAAAACTGTTCTTCCTGTTTTGAGAGATCTGTGTGTGTGTGTGTGTGTGTGTGTGTGTGTTAGGGGGAAGATGTCACTGGAAACAGTGTGTCTGATTCTGGCCTACAAGATGAAGTACCCGGAGAGTATCTTCATGCTCAGAGGCAACCACGAGAGTGCCAGCATCAATAGGTATAATGGTTATATACACATAATGCTGTACACATCACACTTTTATGTTGCACAGAATTTATGGATTTTATGATGAGTGCAAACGACGCTACAGCATAAAACTGTGGAAGACTTTCACTGACTGCTTCAACTGCCTTCCACTAGGTATATACCATATCGTACTGATCACTAGCCAAACTTACACTCACTCACACACACACACACACTTACTCACTCACGTGCACAGTGGCACTGGTAGAGGAGAAGATACTGTGCATGCACGGAGGGCTCTCACCTGACCTCCATGACCTAAACCAAGTAAGCATCACCCTCTACTCTAATCATTATAAAGCCTCTCTGTTTGCTGTGTGTATAGATAAAAGAGTTGGAGCGTCCGTTGGAAGTCCCTGACAGTGGTCTAGTATGTGATCTCCTCTGGTCAGATCCTGACATGGTATAATATATATATAAATAACTGTTAGAGAACCCTTGCATACAAGTAACTATTATACTGCTTACAGTATGTGTATGATTGAGTGTTCCATTTCTATTTGATGTGTTCACAGAACTGTCTGTGTGTGTGTTACACAGGATATCACTGGCTGGGGGGAGAATGATAGAGGTGTGTCCTATACATTTGGACCCGATGTAGTCCAGACTATGACCGAGAAGTTTGGAATCGACCTGGTTTGCCGAGCACACCAAGTTAGCCCCCCCCCTCTCTCTCTCTCTCAACCTCCTATTACTAATCCTCTTCTCACATGGTCCACCAGGTGGTTGAAGATGGCTACGAGTTCTTCCATAAGAGACAGGTACGTACGTATATACAACGCTACTAGAGTTGCAGTTCCCAACGGCATAATTTGTGGACTTTTCGTAGTGTTCAACGATTTAATGTTCAATGGTTTTAGTGTTGTGTGTATATATCTACAGCTGGTGACCATTTTCAGTGCTCCCAACTACTGCGGTGAGTTTGACAATGCCGGAGGTTGTCTCCAAGTCGAGAAAGACCTTCGCTGCTCATTTGCCATCGTACCAGTGAGTTTTCCTATCTCCCACCCACACAGCCTTTAGGAGTGCACCAATCTTAACCAGAACACCAATTGGAGGGAGACAGACAGAGGAAACTGTCCAGATCAATGAGGTGTCCTATTTGTTGGTGGGGGGAAGAAAGGTGTCCTTATTTGAGAGGTGTCCTCGTTCTTTTACAGAGTGTATAATAGTTGTATATAAGCCTGATCTAACTCTCTACTGCAGCCGAGTCAGTCAGTGGAGGTAAAAAAGAAGTGAGAGGTGTCCTAGACCACCACTGAAAGCCACACACTGAATCTGAAAAACAGATAGAATCTGTATACGTTCATCTATCACAATATCATCACTCAGTCACCCAGTCTGTTTGTATTACACGGTATAAACAAAGCAATTGGAGGTGTAATATACCACCATCAGTGATTCAGTAACCTATTTAGCAGAGCTGTGCAGCAAGTTGATGAAACATCCAGTGCATAAAATTTCACACACACACACACACACAGACACCATAAATATGTAGGATAAAGTTACAAAGTCCACACAAAGAGAAAAGTGAAGACACACACACATAATAATGTACAAAGACTCAGTCTCCTCCCTATTATAACGACACTACCAGTGGAGAAAGAGAGAAAGAAAGAGTCACTCGAAACCAGGAAGGTCCAGACCCTGTACGCTGGTGATTCTCCTCTTTCTCTGCTGGAATGCATCGTAGACAGTTCCCTGGGAGATGGTGGCACTGATGGACTGGATCCACTGGTCTCGCTCTTCCTCTGAACCTGCCTGCAGTCTGTACACGTCGTGGTTACCTGTTGGTAGGGGGGGATGTGCAGTTGACGCTAGTCTCACAAAGCAATTCGTAGAGCAGTTTGTACCATCATCAAACTAAAATCACTGCTTTGCATATAAACTGCTGTTCGGTATGTAGTAGTGTCACAAACTATGTACATACATAGTGTTGCAGTTGACACTGTGAGACTAATGGAAAGCAGTGCTATGATGGTTACAAACTGCTCTATGATAAGTAATAGATAGTGTTACAGACGCTGAGCAGTGATCTTGATTGCTACAGACAGCTCTACTGGTGGTGCGTGTGAGCTGATCACCTGGAACTGGTTTCCCATCAGAATCCTTCTTCCAGGCCTTGATCACTCCGTCGATCTTGAATATCTCGAAACAGTTCTGACACAAGCATCAGAGAGAGAGAGAGAGAGAGAGAGAGGGGGGGAGATAAATACCAACACATCAAGTAGGAATCCTTAGACACACAGACAGCTCAGTTGTGTTGTGCATTCACACGTGAGAGCTAAAAACACGAAAATCTTTCTACAACAATAATAATGGAACAGAAAATAGTACATGCATTTCAACATACAGATTAGCACACAGTGTATGGTGGTGAGGCTCACAGGTGGGGCCTTGGGATCAATGACTGCTCTGATCCGCAGGTCATCATCTCCCAGAGGAATACTGCCAATCAGATCATCGTCCTACAGCATCGCACACACCGCACACATTCAGCTACTAGTAACACCCTACATTCATCTATATACTAGCAATACATCTACTTCGCACACACATCCAGGAGCAATTGTGCCACACACACACGTCCACTAGGAATACACCAGTGTCATCCCTATATATGTACTAAGAACTACCATACTTAGTGATATATGTAGCATACACCAGAGCCTTAATAAATCACTTTCAGGTTACTACTTTACCACTGCATACTCCAGCTATAGACAAAGTATTCACAATTGTTAGTAGGACTATATTTCGTTTCACTTGTGTGCTAAAAGTACGAATCTGAACTAATCTCTGTCAACCAGCTTTGCTCACCAATATAATACACACAGAGACTCTACACAGTGGGTACATAGAGGATAGTGGCTGACCGTAGCCTGTTTGAAGTAGTAGAGCATGCCTTCCTTCAGAA